CTGGTGCTCGTCTTTGCCCAGGTACACACGTACGGGTGTATTTGTTCTAAATTTTGCGAGTGAGTGAAGCGAGTGAGCCAACAAAACTGACATTATTATGGTAAACAATTTGTTGTTATCAACGCATTAACATAAGGCATACAATAATGTATCCGGGCACCTCGCAGAGGAATATCCATGAATATATAACCTCATATATATTCGGTTACCTCTATACACGAATATGAGGCTATTCGGCCATCTGATAGCCCCAAAATCGCAAGTGAGTAAACTCAGTAAAGCGAATGAGCGTCGTAAAAATGTTATTCCAACAAAAAAGATGCGAGATATTCGGGTACCTCCCTGACAGTTAAAGGATTTTCGGGCACCTCGTTGCCCACTTACGGAGATATGCATGTACTTGGCTACCAGTAAAATCATCCTGTTTCTAAATGTTGCGAACGAACGAGGAAGAAATACTCTTTGTTATCTTCAAAATGCTCTTTCCCCGTGAAAATACTTACTCTCGCAGTTTCTAACCTTCAGTTTCATGAAATCGACGATATTCTATCAATATTATTGGATATAACCTAATATCTTTTGTGGCAATCTTAGAGATGTCTTGCGACACCCCGGTTGAAAAACTCTGTACTAAATGTATCCAAATTTGAGTGGGCAGATTGACCAGGCCGAGAGGGAATAACGTCATTGCCTCTATAGATTGGGAGATGTTGCATTTTAATGTAAAACGGACTTACATACATACTCTCTGTGTGCCTCTTTTCCAGTATAACTTTTATATTTTATCTTCCTTTCTTTTTCTTCTCTGATATATGATACATCGATGACGCAAATCTGATCACCCCAAACCATTTTCGATAATTTAACGAAAAAATAGGGTATTAGCAGGACGATGTGAGCTTTTACAGCTACATGTAACATCTACCTGTTGTTATTACCGTACTGATCAATACATTGGATTTATATATATTTATGCAAGTAGATCGCGTAGGCTCTAATGTGCTTTGATTAAACTTTAACAACTATTACATAAAACACATCCTCATTGAAAATACTGTATTTGAACTTTATGTCGACCCTAGATACTCACGTTATTGTTTGAAACTATCACCAGAAATACTTATCCAGGAGTTTGCAGTATATTCCTATATTTATGCACTGGACGAACATAGTATGGCATCCCGCCAAGTAGAACTAGAGCGTATACAGAGCTTTACACATATTCGTACATATTGATTTAGAATATTTCATACGCTGTGAGAAAAATGTATTATTATATTCAGTGTCTGTGATGTCAACCTTGTTTTCTTTTCTGTAACACAATACCCAACGCTATTTTCACACCTCTTCCCATTTTTTCTCTTTCTCATTTTCACCTCTTCCATTTGTTGGTATTGCTCTTGTGTGATTATATGTGTTTTGGGGTGTGTGTGTGTGTATATACGTGATTGATACCTGTTGTAGTTAATGGTCGTTTTTTCTTCCTAAATTTACATATTATATACCTTGTATGTTTTATTTCTTTTGTGATTTAATTTAATATTATGTTAACCTTGATAGGCGCCTCATTAACAAGCACAAGTTGCTTCTGAGAGGTCCTGGGCATATTATGTATTCTGTATTTAAGATTTTTGAATTTTTGTATAATGCCAAATAAATGGAAATTATTTATTTATGAGAATATTAATCAATAACATTATAAATAGAGAATTAAGGAAACCTATACGCAAGTAAGCAGTTTTGGCAGGTATTTTTGGGCCATGAGATTGGGGGAGTTCACCTATCCCCGAACCCCGTATCTACGTCATTTATACTTACACATACACAAATACACCCTCTCCACCCACACACACAAACAAACACATGGTAGCTACCCGATATAAGATGAATTAGATAGAAGAATAAAATTGGAAAAAAAGAATTCGTTTAACATTGAAAATTTCTAACAATAAAATATTCAATGCAGGTGCCAAGAGACCACTTTGCAGATTTGTTCAGATTTTGCAAATATACGTGATCCAATTACTTTCCTTTCCGAGAGAAAAAAAAGGCTTCATTTAAAAAAAATTGTTTTACATGTTCTTGAGAATACGACATAAATGTGCATGTACGACACCAATAACAAGACCATCGATGCTCCGTACACAGGTGGTGAAAGAAATGGCGTATATTTTCTTGTTTGGGTCTTGTACACACTTGTGCCAGGGTCTATTGGAAATAAACCTTTCATCCTAGTTTATCTTATATTTTCTTTACAGAAAATATATCGATGTTACTTTGTTATTGACAGAAACGCTAAAGATGATATGTATCACACAGAGTTCATGATTATGGGAAAGTATAGTAGGTATAGCACACCAAAAATAAGTACAACAAACACATGTTATTTGATGATTGCAAATGATCAAGCTTTATGAAAGCTTCAAAAAACAAAAAACAGAATTGAAATCGGTCAATGCGTTGGATTTTATACCATTTTTTTTTAAATCGCAAAATTACCGAAAAACCTGCCAGAAATGGCCAAATTGGCAAAAATGGCAAAATTCGACAAAGTTGACAACTTAATTCATCACTTTCTTGGACACAAATAATAATTTAAATTATCAGACCCTAAAATATTATCTTTGTGGTAAAAAATACAAAAAAAGGAAATTCATATACCGTTTTGAAAACAGAAGCCAACAAAGTAAGTAATTTTTGCCATTTTTGCGAATCTGCAGATATGAAAAAGTTGTGAAAATAACTAAGTCCGCCTAATTAATATGCGCATATGTAATCAAATCAAAACCGAACATGATGCATCAGTGAAACCTATGTATATCAGACAAGTATGGAACTGTATTTCATTTAAAAATTTAAAAAAAAAATCATGAAATATTCATCAAATATGCAAATTAGGTCATTTCAGCTAATTATATATTCGCGCACTCATTATGCAAATTAGGAAAGTCAAACTGTTCATTTTTTTTTTGCATTTTTTAAATTATATATCCATAGATCATATTTACACCAAATAGTATCCTTGAATTCCAAATATTTTTGCAATGCCAATAAAATATGGCGATGGAAATTACTTGGATCACCGTCACAGCTATTTTCTCATGTGTTTCACAAATTATTCAGAAAAACCAATCATATGATAAGAATCTGTAGACTTTCAGCTACATCACAGTATATTTGGCTATTTAAAAGATGTCAGATTTGAGGATTTATGACGATTTTCCGAGAAACCATTTAACAGGCCATAACATTCCACAGGGACTGAATTTCAGAGTACAAAAAAATGTGGTGACCCCAGTACAGTTGTGGCTACCTTGAGTGTAAATAACAAATTGATTTAATGAGTGAAACACATGAGGATATTGCATTTTTGTAGGGAAGTTTTATACATTGAGGTGCATTTTCACCACGCAGAATAGCAGTGCGAGTCAATGGGCGATCAGCGGGCCATGTCACACATGGCTGAAAGGACAATATTCTAATTGAATAATTTAACATATATCCCACATGCCTATAACAACGAAACAACACAAAATCGTAGTTAAAGGTATGCTTGAAATATATGTGAAATATAAATTTAAAAATATTGTTTAGTTTTTTTTAAATAAATTTACAAAAATGGCTATTTCTACCAACTGACTGCTGCTGTGTGTATGTGTGTGTTCGTCGGGCAGACTGTGTGCACAGGCAGTATGATCACCCTACTAATACTAGTATAACGATTTAATGATAGTAATAATATTTATAATTTAGGAGCGCTAACAGCAAAAAGTGCCAAATTGCTTAGTTGCCATAGTGCCAATTTGAAGAGAAAACAAAAAGACTAATAAATGAAATATGCCTATACACTTTATAATTTTATAAAGAATGAGAAAGGAAACAATGAACTGACTGGAAAAAAGTAAATGCATACATGATTATGAATGGAAAGCACATAGTAAAACTAAATACAGCCTTCGAGCCTACAATGCTCTGTAAACAATGACAAGGAATAGATAATAAAACAATTAAAAATGAATCATTAGGTCTTATTCATTCAGGGTAGCCACATCAGTATTAATACTGCACTCCCTGCCTCCCCTGTAATTATCATTACCCCAGCAATTGCCGGGTACCATTTACACCAGGGGGTGTTTCACAAAGATCCTAAGTTGGACTTAACAATTATGGAAAGCCATTAGCATCCTTGAAAATGTTTTGTAAAAGTTATTTTAAAAGGCATTAAATGTTGATTCATATCATTTACATTTTCAATTATCATGGGAGATTTCATGTTCTTGATGTGGAATTTATGAAAAGTCTAAAATACTTGAAATTTTCTTTTGAATATATCTCATTGTAAGGCTACAAATGGCTCTCTATACTAGTTAAGTCCAAGTTAGAGTTAGGTTTGACTTATAATCTTTGTGAAACACCCCCCTGGATGAAGAATGACAAATGTGGACTCATGTCTTGCAAATGGACGTTAGTGGCGGGCTGGGATTCGAAACCCTATACCTTTGAATTTAGAGTCAATGAAGTAATATGATGTTTTACATATTCAATTCATAATTATTGCACAGATATACGTACATTTTCCTCTCCCTTTGATTGAAGAAAACCTAATTATAACATGAGTTTTGTATTTATTATTTGTCTTGGGGCATCTTCTTCTCTTAATAAGCTCTAAGAGAAGTTTTGAGTGGCAAGTTTTTATTCGTTCAAAGTAACAGTACATAGAATAATTATGAAATGTAATCAATAATGATAGCTCAATGATAAAGAAAAAGATTTTTAAAAAGAGTGAGAACAAGACCCCAATAAAAAATATGCTTAACCTGACACATACATGGATACAATTAAAAAGTAACATATCTGCAGATATTTATGTATAAAAATATATACTTTTAAAATTGACTATCGATGTAGGCCTACGGATGAGATTTCCTAGAAAATAGTGTATAATTGTAAAATATTCTTATCACTATTTTACTTTTAAATATTTCTTTTACAAAATATTTTCATATTGAAATTTCTTTCCTAACACGATCATGGTGATCGAGTACCTCCATCTTCATTACCGCTCGCAAGGTGGCGCTTTCCCTTTCCACAGATATACGAATGCCTTTCACGATATCTTCATATTCACCTTGCAGTTGTGCCAGGTTGTTAACGATTCTCCGTTCAACCTGTTAACACAAAATAATACAGAATGTTGATTTCTCGTCCAACTATTGTAACTCTCTCTCTCTCTCTCTCTCTCACACACACACACACACGCGCACACACACACGACCACAAACACACTCTTTTATTATTTTTTTTTATTTTTTATAGAAATTTCGTTTTATTCCTCCAAATGTGTGATACAAACAACAACAATAGTCAATTTAATAAAATGAATAAAAGTTTTCAATATTAATTACTTATACATAAAGATAATTAAGCAAAAACTCATTTGCAGTATATAACTGAGCAAACAAATTTAAGTACAGAAACATAATTTATGAGTCAATGGTACATGTTATTCACTAATGTACATTAAAAAAAAAAAAATCTGGAGGTTATTTAAGTACAAAGGTACAAACGCACACACATCCGCATCTGATCATCCTGTTCACGTCATCATAAATTTTCTCATCCTCTTGTATGAAAGGTTATTACCTCATGTATGATCGAACGAGCCCCGTAATCTACTTTGTAGCCATTGGCCAGTACTTTCAAGACAGAATCGTCCCATGACACTCTTATTCTATGTCTGCTGTTTGCCTGCAAAATATGGAGAAATCAAACATATAATCTGTTGACGAACTTTAAAACTGCTGCCACTTCTCCTCCTCCTACTACCACTAATAATAGTTCTACTGCTTCTTCTACTACTACTACTACTACTACTACTACTACTATTATTATTACTACAAGTACTTCTGCCACTATACTACTTCTATTATTACTATACTACTACTCCGCTGCTCATTAACGTGAGCGTGATCAATACATTTCTGAGATGATATCAATTTTATCCATACAAAATAAACTGTATTATCATAACAACCTCATGAAAAGAGATAAGAATTGTTTTCTCAACCTAAAGTTTATTACGACGACGATGACGATGACCTTTACTACTACTACTACTACTACTACTACTACTACTACTACCTTTACTACTACTACTACTACCTTTACTACTACTACTACCTTTACTACTACTACTACTACCTTTACTACTACTACTACTACTACTACTACTACTACCTTTACTACTACTACTACCTTTACTACTACTACTACTACTAATAATAATAATAATAATACTACTATGACGACTACTACTATACTATTAGCACTACTACCTTTCCTGCAAGTACTACTACTAACGTTACTAATACTATTATTATTATTATTATTCTCACTAATATTTTTACTACTATAATTACTATTACTATTACTAATAATATTACTATGACTACGAATACTACTATTACTATTAATACTCCTGCTATTTCTATCACTACGATGACGAATAGAAGACTGCAAGAACTTAAAACGTAATTTTCCAGTATCCAACAGCTATAGACATTTATTTCATATTTGAATGTCATCTTCAGTAGTTTATTTCAACTCCCCAATAAAAACATACTTTTTACATCAACATACAAAAGAAAATGACAATGTTATTGCATGAACATTAGTGAGAACCTGGGGGATCCTAATATTAGAGGGCTTAGAGTAAAAAGGTAATGTAATCAACTATGTAGTGTGATCGAATGATTAACTTGTTAACTCACAAGTTTCGACCATTTATCCATCTCTCTGGTAACGAGTTGAACAAGATCATCCTCGGTGAATGGTAGGAAGAAGACAGTCTCGTTGATTCTGCCTAGGAACTCGTCTCTCTTGAAGTGCCTCTTGAGAATAGGCTGGATGACTTCTTGCTGGAAGTTGTCGGGAATTTTCACTTGTCCTATGTTAAGATAAGATTTTTGAATATTCCTAAGTCATCGAAAGATAATGTTTGTTTTAGATTCAAGATACAGATTCAAAAATGATTCCTCCTTTTTGTATTGAACAAACATGATGACTATAAGAAGAATGTTAAGAAGATCATTGTTATATTAATTAATTAATTAATTAATTTATTTATTTCTGATATTTATACAGGGTGGCACATTATCACCAATTTGGTGGTCTTCCATGAGGCCCTGTTTGGTAATAATAAAAACAAACAACAGCATCAAAAACAAAATAGATAAATACACAAGCATATAAACAGGTAAAATACAAAATAATTGGTATCCCCTTGAAATAACTGATCATTCAAGAATCATCCTTGATCATTTACAAGAAATAGGTGAATGGAATTTTCAAATTAAATATAATTTTTAAAAACGTTCATTTAATAGTCTGATAAAGCTTAACGCACGGGATACCAAAATTGTTATATACATATTTACATTCAATTGCTCTTTAACTAATACACTTAGGTTGTTTACAAGATAGCTGAAAATGGATACATTACATGTATGAATATATGATATAACGATAACCATGTCAACCAAATTTCATAATTTTGCAAATAGGAAAAAAAATGGTTACCTTTGCACGAAACCACCAAAAGTTCACTTACACGTTATCTACAGATAACAGGGCTTTTAGAGCGTGTTTAAAACTGTTCAAAGTAGTTGACATTTTGACAGGACTTTTAAGTTGGTTCCATACTCTAATTCCAGAAATTAGAGGACTATTTTTATAAGTGTCCGTCCTAAATTTGGGTACACACAATGCATCCCTTACAGCATGTCCTGTGTTGTGATCATGCAGTGAACTAACATGATGTAAATCTTGTTTTAAGTATGTTGGTGCCATGTTATGCATTGATTTATACATCATCACTGCACGTCCAAACTGGAAACGTGTCTGAATAGGCATCCATCCTAAGCGACTAAAAATATCATTTGAAAATACTTCAAATCCTTCTCCCAGCACTACACGTGCAGCTCGTTTTTGAACCTTTTGTAATTTAATCGTTTGTCTTTGAAATCGCTCAGACCACACCGAGGAACAATAATCAAAATGAGGAAGTACGATGTCATTATACAGAAGTTTTAGAGATCTTGTTGGAACATAACTTTTGGCTCGCTTAATTACACTGATATTTCTTTGAGCAGTTTTAATAATTTTTTCCACATGCTCCGTCCAACGTAACTCCTCGTCAATCATAACACCCAGGCATTTAATGAAGGAATGAAGGACGGGGCGATATTTCCTTAAATCGTAATGTGTTTGATGGGATCGCTATAATGATACAAACATACAAACATACAGATAAAGGTCTCTAAAAGGTCAACTGTCTAAAATGATCATGTAAGTTGTCTCTCTTGAGAAAGGCTACTTGTCTACAGTGGCCACTTTCTCTGTTTGCCATTGGTGGCCGCAGTAGACAGGAGTGACCGAATACGGAAATGAAATGAAAATTTGTTCCTTTTCCTAACATGACTGAAAGTATGTGTACGACATCGATACAAACCTGATTGCTTATTTTCTTTCTTCCAGAAGTCAGTAATAGCATCACTTCCCAGGTTTGATGTCATGAAGAATATAGCCTTGTTACCCATGACAGTCTCCCCCTTTCCGTCTGTCAGTCTTCCCTTTGGAGAAAAATGGGGAAAACATCACGTCTCTATTTCTAAGTATGAGGTGTTGCCCAACAGAATATAAATGAAAATTTAATATAATGTACAATAAAATATGGAAAAGACTGACAAGGTAATGCCACGTAATATATCTCAACTGGTCGGGAAAAAAGCAACTAGATACCTCATCAAAAAGCTGCAACATAATGGTCAGAACATCACGGTGTGCTTTTTCAACTTCATCAAACAGAACAACAGCCTTCGGAGTCTTCTTTAGTTTCTCTGTGAGTTGACCACCGGCATCATGACCAAGGTAACCAGGAGGAGCCCCGACAAACCTGCTAACGTCATGCTTTTCTTGATATTCGGACATGTCGATTCTGATGAAAGCTGTCTCTTTTAGTTTCAAGTGGGTCGAAACCGCTTTGGCCATCTCAGTTTTCCCTGCGAACAAGGGGGAGTTATAAGAATTGAAACAGGGATATAGAGAGTGGAACGGCCTTACCAATTAATAGTTGATATGCTTTTCAACGAAAACACCTTACTGTTGGTTATGATCAAAACCTGAAATATGTTGAAAAAAATTGAAACCAATGTCTGATTATATTTTTTGTTTAAGTCAAACAACAAACGTTTGTACTTAAACTGAAAGTCAAATGGTATTTGCACTTTCCGAAAATATTACTTTGACATGACTTGTATCAATTTCATTATTTTCTTATCAACTCTATTTGAACAAACTTATCACTTTGGTACAATAATAGAAATGGGTCATAAAGTTTGGAATTGTTGATCCGTTATAGATGGTTATATATAGCTCCATGTTACATGTATTTTCATAAGGTCACAGCGTGATAGATCTAATGACATACCAGTGCCCGATGAACCCAAAAATAGGAATACCAACGGCTTCTCCGTGCTTTGCCAACCTGCTTCTTTTCGTCTGATAGCTGGGATTGAGAAAAGAAAAAGAAATATAATGGAAAGAGGAGACAGAGAGAGACAGATAAAGAGACATACACATATAAAAACAAGAATTTGGGAATAGAGAGTAACAATAATAACAACAAAACACAATACAAATCAACGTTTTTTTTAAAATAATAAATTGGAAATGATCATTACAAGACGGAAGATATAACAGCAATTTCATATATTTTTGTTTCATAAAGGTGCAGAGGAGGCTAGGTCTTTAATTCCCACTCCTGGCACAACTAGTAAAAGTATCCTATGATCTTTTTGTCGATGCAATATTCAACGATCCATAGAAAAGTACTAGGTAATACACAACAAATCTCATCTTTTATGAAATCTGCTTGATTTTATCCCGTTACGTTTATTAAAATTGAAATTTGTCTTCGCATAACTACCAAGGTAATGGTGTAATCTAACACTATTTCTTATTATGATTACAATTAAAAATAAAATACAGATTAAAGCTTTTGATTAAGCTGACGAAGATTCATTCACATATATTTCACATCTAATCAGAGCAAATCAAACTCACTTCGAGCAACCAAAGATACCGCATGTTCTTGACCAACAATGTTCTCCTGAAGATGCTTTTCAAGATTAGTTGGTCTCTTGTTTCTAGAAAGTCCCATTGTTCCGAGCTGTATAAAAACAAAACAAAACATGTAGGAGTAATTCGTCTGTTGAGTACAAGAAGGTCGTTAGCTCTGTATTAAAGGTACTATGTCCCTTTTGCAGCCAACCTCAAATTCTGTAGAATTTTGCAGGAATTATGAATATGTCATGTATGTCCTATCTGTGAAATTTAAACGTTAGCAGTGTCCTCATATTCAAATTATGCAAGAAAACCCGTTAACTTGCAAGACTTCACTGTCAGACACTATTGAGTGACTGACTGGCTGTTTTTTCTTCTTTGGTAATAACATACATGAAAAGAGTTGTAAAGGGTACATGAGCATTTGTTTACATCAATAACCCACTTCTTGTGATGGCCAAGATTAAACTGATTGAATCTTTGCACAGCATAAAACGTATGACCATTCGGTACAATTGTCTGAAAATCAAGACTATTACTTTTGGGCTCTGTAGCCCTAAAGTCGATTTGACAACTAATAGTCGTTATTTTTCCACTTGAAGACATTTTCAAGCCCGACCTTTTTTAGGGAAGTTCTAAATTAGTATTATCTTTCAAATGCCGTTGGAATTAAACTTTTTCATTTTTTTGGCCTGCAAATGGGACATAGTACCTTTACCACAGGGTTAATGCCCTTGTGGCCCGAAACAGACGATTCTGTTTTTCTGGCTTGTTTCAGTAATCCTAGTAGTTGTCCTGGGGGTAGTTGTCCTAGGGGATAGTTGTTCGGTGGGTAGATGTCCGGGGTAGTTGTCTGAGGGGGTAGTTGTCCTAGGGGGTAGTTGTCCTAGGGGGTAGTTGTCCTTGGGGGTAGTTGACTGGGGGTAATTATCCGGGGGTGGATGTCCAGGGGGTAGGTGTCCGGGGGGTAGGTGTCCGGATACGGTGACATGTATAATTATACATATATATCTGTACAAATAGAAGAAAGAGGGCTAAACATGACAAATCAATGTTTTAAATGAACTAATAATTGGTCTAAGCAGATGTAATGACTTCCGACTTACGATACCAGTGTACCGTCGATGCTACATGTATGCATCGCAACCCTGCGTCAAGGACATGCGTCAGTGCCTATAGAGACTTCGCCTGTCAACTGTTTTTCTATATATGTCCTTGAATGGTGCAGTGGAAATAGCGCCTCGTGTGCAACAGGCATTACGTCATCAACAAAGACAATACTTACACTTGCTGCAAGATGTTGCAATTGTGGGTCAACAACAGCACCACGAGTTGACAGCGTCTGCTGTCGGTGTCCATACGCCCCACAGGCCACATCATCCTTGGGGTTGTGAAAGGTACCAGAAGTACGAGACCGTACATCAACACATGGATCCTCCTCGCAATGGAGACAGTATAACGACGTCCCAGGATTCGAGATGAAACAAAAGCGACAAACCCAGTCATCACCTATCTCTTCCCATGTAGTAGCGCCGATCGGCTCATCTTCAGCAACATCATTTACATGATCTTCTGTGGCATTTACACCTGGTGGTTGTGGGTTTGGCATGAAGCAGTATGGACATTGTGACAAGTAGATGCTGTTCTTGTGAGTACATGTTGAGCACGACCACTGGCATAATGACAATGACAGAAAAATTAACCATACTTATGAATACGGGTGTAGATTAGTGACATTTTGCTGTCTAGCACGTGCGAGCAAGTTTTGGTGGTCATAAATCATAGCATATAAGCTGGTAAGTGATGTATCAAAAACAGGTAATACCTGTTTTTGTTATGAAGCATGGATCGTTCCTTTTTTGTTGTTGTCGTGATTAGAATATTCAATGTCGATTTTCAGGGGACAATCCTTGTGGAAATTTCAAACAGACGTGTCTCCCCCCCCCCCCCCCCATCTTGGAATATCGCCTCTGATATACACCTACCTCATCTTCCTTTAGAGTTGAAAAGGTGTAACGGGCATTAAGTCATCGACAAAGCTGATACTTACACTTGCTTCATGATGTTGCGTCTGTTGGACACCAACATTACCACGAGTTGACAGCAACTGTGGTCGGTGTCCATTCCCGAAAGGCCCCCACCTCCATGGGCTGTCAAAGGCTCCAGAAGGACGAGACCGTACATCAACACCTCGACCCTCATTGCAATGGAGACAGTACAACGACGTCCCAGGATTCGAGATGAAACAAGAGCGACAAACCCAGTCATCACCCATCTCTTCCCATGTAGTAGCGCCGATCGGCTCATCTTCAGCAACATCATCTACATGATCTTCTGTGACATCTATAACTGCTGGTTGTGGGTTTGGCATGAAGCAGGCCGGACATTGTAACGCGTAGATGCTGTTGTTCTGAGTACACGTTGAGCACGACCACTGATTATAATGACAATAGGGACTTTGAGATTCTGCACGACGAGAACGTGGACTGCCCTTTTAAGGCAATGTGACGTCACTGCCAGTGCCTTAAAAGGACGTCACATTGCCTTGAAAGGGCAGTCCACGTTCTCATCGTGCAGAATCATAAAGTCCCTAGTGACATAAAAAATTAACCATACTTATGAATACGGGTGTAGATTAATGACATTTTGCTGTCTAGCACGAAAAAACACACACCATTTTAGTCTGTGGAGTTCTGGATCGCTGCTAAAGATGTCAACAACTAAACTGAAATGGTGGTTCATAAATTATAGCATATAAGCTGGTAAGTGCATGAGGTATCAAAAACGGGTATTTCCTAATTTTGTTATGAAGCATAGATCGTTCCTTTTTCGTTGTGGCGATTAGAATATTAAATGTCGATTTTCAGGGGACAATCCTTGTGGAAATTTCCAACAGATGTGTCTCCCCACCCTCTCTCGGAACGTCGCCCCTGATATACCCACCTCATCTATTCTTGCTTGAGGATAAGAGAGAAAAAATACCCACCTCATCTTCTTGTAGAGTTGATACATCTCCAAACTCTATTCGATCCGAATCGCATGCTATGCATTTGGACCATTCCCTTAAATTGCGGATAGTGCAATGTTGGCAGGTCCACTCTGATTCGGCCATTCCCAGTCTATGCGGACCTTTCACTTTTCATGGAAAAGATGGTCAAATAGATTTATACAAATAATATGCCTATACAAGGTGATAGAATATAGATAAATTATTCCAAGGGAACATGCCGATATTCATGATAAGATGTACCAAGACCAATACACAAAATAGTGAAATGCACTGGGAGTAAGGAAGAACAAATAAAACTCCCCCACCCCGCCTCCCAAAAAAGCCTTGGTTATATCAACGACATTCAATCTTCCCTTAAACAAGTATTAAAAAGCAGATATTATTAACATCATTGTTTCAAGGTTTCAATGTTTATTCATTTTTCTCTTATAGATCTGATCACCCCAAAACATTTTCGATAATTTAACGAAAAAATAGGGTTATTAACAGGACGATGCGAGCTTTTACAGCTACATGTAACATCTACCTGTTGTTATTACCGTACTGATCAATACATTTTATTTATATAAGTATTTATGCAAGTAGATCGTGTAGGCTCTAATGTACCTTGATTAAACTTTAACAACTATAACACAAAACACATCCCATTTGAAAAAACAGTATTTGAACTTTATGTCGACCCTACATACTCACGTTATTGTTTGAAACTATCACCAGAAGTACTTATCCAGGAGTTTGCAGTATATTACTATATTTATGCACTGGTCGAACATAGTATGGCATCCCGCCAATAGAACTAGAGCATATACAGAGCTTGACACATTTCCGTACATATTGATTTAGAATATGCCATACGCTGTGAGAAAAATGTATATTTTCAGTGTCTGTGATTTCAACCTTGTTTTTTTTTTCTGTAACACAATACCCAACGCTATTTTCCCACCTTTTCCCTTTCTTCTCTTTCTCATTCTCACCTCTTCCATTTGTTGGTATTGCTCTTGTGTGAGTATGTGTGTTTTGGGATGTGTGTATATACGTGGTTGATACCTGCTGTAGTTAATGGCCGTGTTTTCTTCCTAAATATACATATTATATACCTTGTAAGTTTTATTTCGTGTGTGATTTAATTTAATATTGTGTTAACCTTGATAAGCGCCTCATTTACAAGCACAAGTTGCTTCTGAGAGGTCCAGGGCATATTATGTATTCTGTATTTAAGATTTTCTTATTATGCCAAATAAATGGAATTGAACTCACTCAACCAATTATCCCAAATTTGTGATTGAATGGTCTTTTATGACTTAAATGAGAATATTAACAAATGACAATATAGATTAAGGAAACCTATACGCAAGTAAGCAGGTCTTGCATGTATTTTTTGGCAAAACGATAGTGGGAGGGCATGTACCCCCGTACTCCCGTAGCTACGATATTGATACTTACACATAAACACATCCACTCCCACACACACACAATAACAAATACATACTCCCAATTCCACACACAATCACACACATGCTGGCTACCTAATAAGATGAATTATATAGAAGAATAACATTGAAAAAAAGAATTCATTGAAAATTTCAAACGATGAAACACTACTGTATTAAATGTATGTGCCATGAGACCACTTTTCAGATTTTGTTCAGATTTTGCAAATAGACGTGTTCCAATTGCTTTCCTTTCCGAGAAGAAAAAAAGGCTTAATTTAAAACAATTATTTTACATGTTCTTGAGAATACGACATAAATGTGCATGTACGACACCAATAACAAGACCATCGATGCTCCGTACACAGGTGGTGAAAGAAATGGCGTATATTTTCTTGTTTGGGTCTTGTACACACTTGTGCCAGGGTCTATTGGAAATAAAACTTTAATCTTATTTTGTCTTATATTTTCTTTATAGACATGATATCGATGTTACTTTGTTATTGATCGAAACGCTAAATATGCATAACACAGAGTTCATAATTATGGGGAAAAGTATAGTCAGAAATGGCAATCGCCACGCATGGGCAGTGAAAGATAGAAGTCCTACAGAAAGAAGTTTATATTTGGTTTAATATCCATATATTATTTGCCGAAAAATCATCCACATAACATTATTATACCGGTATCGTGCTTTAAAAAAAGTATTTGTATCCACAACCGTTTAATGTTCCTCTTATTATCTTTCATTTGTCTTGCAGTATGAAAATCATGTTTGCACACCGATAATTGAAAAAATGTAAACGTAATGTGCCCTCATTAACTTTTGATGTATATACATAGAGAACGGGAAGAAAAAGGAGGTCCCACCGAGATTTGAACTCGGATCGCGAGATTCAGAGTCTCGAGTGCTAACCATTACACCATGGAACCGATTTGTAAACGATCAATGCTTTAAATATTATAATGCCTTCTATTCTTTAAATGTTTGTAATTATCATCAACTCATCATCATCATCATCATCATCATCATCATCATTATCATCATCATTATCATCATCATTATCGACACCCCCACCACCGTCATCATCATCACATCATCCTAATCATCTTCGTAATACACTGCACATCATATTGAAGTTTACTAAAAAGAAAAAGGAAGATGAGAAGAAAGAAAAAAGAAAGAAAGAATATATATATAAAACAAAAACATAATGATACAAAGTAAGTTGTAGAAATGTCAAAAAAGGCGCGGAGTAACTAAAATATTGCTACATGTTAGCATTGATATTGATCATCATTGAATGATATTCTAAGGTCTTTTATTAAGTTTCCTTGAAAACAATTACAAAAAGGCAGCACTACTCACAGCATGATAAAGATTTAGAGGTACTTAGTTAATTCTCACATTTCAAAATGGTCATAATTATTCACGTCCTACTCATCCTCTTTATTATCAAAATATGAAAGTTTAGACTATTTCTGAAGAAATTTACCAGTATGAAAGCAGTGGATATTTAGTTTGATTAAACGCTGTTTTTTTTTAAAGCAAGATTCATATATATATACATATATATATAAATATGTGATAATTATTCACGGACTGTGAAAATGTACGTTGTTATGATGAAAGTGAGCAAAAAAATGCATTTTTATTTCTGTGTGAATGTGCAACATTTCACTATAATATGTTTTACTATATTTCAAAGATTTCTCATTGCAAGCAATACATTTTAAAAAATATTTGTCATTCTTGAAAAGCAACATCTTCAACAGAATTATTCAATTATGTACAAATGTTGTAAGAAATCTGTTTCCATAAACATAGTCTACAGCTACAACTACAAATACAACATAAAAACAAACGAAAAAAACACAAACTTGAACTGCCAGTTACCGACCTATCATTACGGGTAATTTTTTCCCCCTCATTTTATGGCTTTATAAAGAAATAGACATCTTCCAAACAGTATCTTATCAGAATTAAAATGTGTACACGGAAGAATAGGTGTTCGTCGATAATAGTTTGCATAAACGAAAAAAACAACTTTACAAAAAATAAAAGTAATTAGGTCCCACCGAGATTTGAACTCGGATCGCGAGATTCAGAGTCTCGAGTGCTAACCATTACACCATGGCACCTTGGATGAGGCACAGTGATCAAATATAGACTTGAAATATTAGGGCCCTCTATCGGTGAAGCAAGAAGAGAGATATCAGATGGAGATGATAATGCTGGTTATGAGGAACAGGATGAGCAGCCACCCTTATGATACATGTACTTATTTCCATTTCAAATTCTCCTGATATCTTTAATCCGTTGAAGATAAAGACCAGTTATGGTCGTGCGATTGCATTGTGAAAGAAACGTTGTGAAATCGATCAGAAAAGGTTAGCATAGATGTATACTGCAAGGTTCTGGAATCATCAAAATGATAAGAAATTTGGCCCAGTCTTCATAAAGTTACAAGCACTGTACACAGAAAGAAGTATATGGGACTACGCACACGTGTGCAACACGTGCGTTTTTATCTCTCACACACCAATAGATAAACTAATTTACCAAATATATCAATTAGTAGGCGGTTTCCCGGCAAAATGTTTATCATCAAATTATTCAAAACATATTCTTTCACATGAATTGGTAATAAAAGCTGTCATTTTGAAATTGGGGCGTTTCCTATACTGGTCTTCACCAATTTTGTTAGTATTAAAGGAACGTTGTATAACATGGAATATAACAAATATTGAGAAACATATTCCCAAATGGAAGAGGAAATCAGTATGCGCTAGTGTGTGTAGGGCCCGGCGGGGGAGGGGGGGGGGGGGTACTCAGATTTGGTTTACATGGGGGGTGCAGCTCAGGTCTTGAAACCCCAACCCATTAAGTGTCATTTTGGTAGTTTTTTTTCTCGAAGTAAGGCCTATTTTCAACAAATCACAAATTTTGAAAATTTGAAAAAACGCGGGATCGACCCATGTTAAGTGATTTATTTTTAATGGGACCCATGCATGTTTAGGGATTTGTTTATACCCCAAATATTCTTAATATGTGATTCCCCCCCCCCCCCCGGATATAGGGACACTGGTACAGGCCAAAGATCCCTTTTTAACATACAACTAAGACATCCTAAAATGAAACGTGAATTAACACCAATAAAAAACAAATATCTTAAATTAGATACATCGTTTGCACTTCAGTGTTTATATTTTGGGATCTTTAATTTATGTTTGAGTAGGCCTATTGTTATTTGTTTTACAGTCAGTTCAACATTAACGATTTGATGAAAGGAATTGACTTAGATTATGTTCATTAAGCTTGAATTTAGTTTCAATTTCATATGATTAAGCATTTTCATTTTCCTACAAATTCCGGAATTATATCAGTGTATTTCATTTCCTATCGCTTTCTATCAAGCTCACTCCCCTGCCCCTCCCATCATTTTGACTCTGCTCATTTCTCCTCTCCCTCCCTTCCTTTACTTCTCTCTCTTTCCAAGCCTTTATCTCCCCCAACAAAAAATATGTCTGTATCCTCCATCTATTGCTCTCTCTCTCTCTCTCTCTAACCCCCCCCCCCCCCACCACCACTTCCAAATCCTCACATTCTCTCCTCTATCTCCTTGCATCTTTATGTTCTCTTTATGCCCATATCAAGACAATTTTATCTCTCCCCCCCCCCCCCCAACAAAAAATATATACATCTCCCTCTGTATCCTCCATCTCTTGCTCTCTCTCTATCTCAGCCCCCCCCCCTCCTAAATTCGCTTTCCCCCCTTCCCAATTCTCTTTCTCTTCCTGCATCTTCATGTCTCCTCAAGACGATCCCCCCCCCCCCTGGACAAGAACCCCCAGGACAATTACCCCACCCCCTACCCCGCAAACATTCGAGGACAATATGCCCTCCCCCTACTACTATTAGTCTACCATGATAATAACTTGGTTTTGATAAAAACCGATTTTTAAAAATTAATTTGTAATTGTCTTAAAGTGACTTGGTAACATTGTTGAAGTAGATGAAAAAAATTGCTTAATGTTTGTATAAAATTTTACTTACTATATTCCTTGTACAGTACTAACCGTCTGACATGCAAAAAGTCCTGAAAAATTCTCAAACCACAAAGATATCTATGGTTTTCTTTGAAGGCGTTGATGTATGACACCCTCTAACAGTGATTAACAATAAATTTTCCCAACCGTTTTTCCATGAAAAAAAGACATAAAACAGGCTATAAAAAATCTGTCAACACTTAAATGTCTGGAATGGAATGTAGAGCCATTTTATTACTTTGTGAGATTTCCCTTCATCTAAAATGTAATTAAATTGTAATAATATAGTTGGGAGAATTAAGGAATCGATCAGATCAGTTTTTCCTAATTTGTACCATGAATAATGGTAGCATTGAAGTCACTACCTTAGCACCACTATCTCTCATCTTAACAATGTTACCAAGTCCCTTTAAGGGGTAAACTTCAGGGGGGGGGGGGGCAATTGTCCAGGGGGTAATTGTCCTAGAACCCTATATGCCTAACCACTTCTAACAACATTTTAAAAACAAACAGCATAACAAGAAATAACATTAATGTGTTTTTTAATGCCTGCATGGGTAGAGGGTGAGATATACACATTTTTCTTATATCAGTATCAAATAACCACAATAAATCACATTTATTAAATGTTCTATTTTATTACAATTATCTACATGTAACTCATATTTTATTTAAGTTTTTAGATCATAGCAATGCCAGAAATTAAATTGTTTAACCCATTGCCTGTCAGTAACCATTAGGAGCCAGAGAATTAAGGAGTCTATCGGTTGATATATATGTCCAGTTAATAATTATAATAATAATAATAATAATAGCCTAATAGTCCACTCCAAATTTTATTAAACCGAAACGGAAATTCTTTTTGCCCAATTGATCGTGAGCCCGGCAGCCACTGAGCAGCGCCAGATCGACGTTGCTCTATCCCTCTAACAACTCCCAAATTTTAACGTCTTTTGGTATGACGCAGCCGGGGTTCGAACCCACGACCTCCTGGTTGTGAGGCGGATGCTCTACTGACTGAGCCAACACTCCGGTTAGTGATATATCATGACAAACCCTGAAGATATATACATCCCTGTTCCTTGCCCTATAAATAATCTAAATATTTGTCTGCTCTGTTCAACCTGTCTTTTCTATTTCTCTTTGTCTTACAGACTAAATTAAAACACATGCTGCTAGTTTCAATGATTTTAATATAGTGTTCTCCCAGGTCTTTGTAATTATCCATTAATTTTATTAGCATGCAAGAACCATAGAGAACATTTCATACAAAAACATACAATGACATGATAATTTATTTGCAAAAGTAACTTGTTTAAGTAAGTTTCAGTTAATGTTCCCTATAAATAGATTTCTGGGTGAAAGTTAGAGATAGCAGTGATGCTTCATTTACATACAAGATAAAAACTATCTATTGTACATTTATGGCTCAGAACTATGCATTGAATGTATCACACTAAATTTAGGGTACAACAGCCACTGTGAAAGTTATATTTGTTGGAGCACAGAGCTGAATGACTCCCTTTTTAAAATTGCACATGAATATTTTTCTGGAAGAAAGTACGATTTGTCCTGGCTTTATCCACACAAGTTGAAATGTCAAGAAAAATCTCAAGTATTTCTTTTCAAGTTCATTTGCTCCACATCAACAGGGGTAAAATATTGCCTAAAAATTGGAATGATGGTTGACATCAGCGGGACCTGGTACTGATGGAAGAATATTCACTGTTTCTTTCTTTCCTTTCTTGATGACTTGAAGCTTGAGTTTCGTCTGCTGCAGATCTTGACTTCCACTCATCTTGTTGTCATGGGAACCTGCATCGACAGCGATGTGGAGCTTGCATCCTTGAGAGATGAGGAGCTTCTCTTGGGCAGCAGCAAGCTGGTTGACGATCCTTCTCTCAACCTGAAAGAAATGTGACAAAGTTATAACATGTTGAGAGCCAGATGGTTACTAACCCTATCTTTAAGGATGTTAACATCTTTCTGGCTTTGAGCACAAAATATGGCATTGGAAAGTTATAAACCTAAAATATTACAATAGATTAATAAATATTTTTTCATTTTTTATCTATTTGTTTTCCATTTTATTTTAATTTATTTATTCATCATCATCATCATCATCATCATCATCATCATCATCATCATCATCATCATCATCATCATCATTATTATTATTATTATTATCTATTTTTTTTGGGGGGGGGGGGCACCAGTCAATGATTTCCTTTTCAAATTTTGTCAAATTCCCCAGGATCTGTGTCTAGGTTTGTAATAGCTTGTAATTCAGTGGTGAAAAAAGATGCCAATATTTAACAATAAGAATATGGCAGCACGTTCATGTCAAATTTACAGAAAGGGCTTTAGGAACGTAACTATTTAGTTAAATGAGCAATTCTTTGTGTGATCACGTTTACAGATGAATTTGCACATATTTTTTTCTAGTGTGTTTTCAGTAATCTTCTTAAATTTGTTTTCACTCTCTTCTGTAAAACTGACCTCATGTTTGATAGACCTTGCTCCATAGTGGACATCATATCCATCAGCAAGAACTTCAAGAACTTCAACATCCCATGTCAACTCCATCTCATGTCTGTCTTTGGCCTAAGCAAGATAAAAATGCTCATAAATCTTACAAAACATTGATTAACCTCATTCAGCATCATCAAAAGCTTAAGAAACTTGTCCTTATACATTTCCATAATTGAGAGGAATTCCTTTCTTAATCACATATTGCAATGAGTGATCAAAACAACTACGAATACAAAAAGTTATTAGAAGCCAGCTGAATTATAGACAGCATTTTAAATCAAAGTGTAGTCAAGTGGTTTACGCACCTGCCTGGGGATGCCAAGGTCTTGGGTTCAAACCCTGACAAGGCACCAATGTCCACTAGCAAGACATTAATCTACACTTGCCAGTCTCGAGCTAGATGAAATAAGTGGGTACCTGGTAGGATTATTTCTTGAAATGCACTGTGCAGTAATACAGGTTTACAGAGCCAAAGCAAGGGAACAAAGAGAATTCATATCATAATATGATATGATGATGACGATGATGATGATTCACAGCATTAACATGGTGCCATGTTTCTGTTTAAAAAAAACATTCACATGCACAGGTACCTCCAATGAAGTCAGTATTTTCACTTATGCCAAAATCAAGTAAGTTTTAAGGCATGATTTGAAGTGATATGTACTCTACAAGAACAAAATATCTATATTTTATTATGAATTCATAACTTCAACAAATAAAAGAAATATCTCAGAGCAAACCTACCCTCGTTGCCCAGAAGTTGAGCTCTTTGGAGACCAGTCTGATAAGCTCGGCGCGAGAGAATGGTAGAAAATAGACCATCTCGTTGATCCTGCCTAGGAACTCGTCTCTTCTGAAGTGCCTCTTGAGGATCGGCTGGACGACATCTTCCTTGAACCTCTTGGAGATCGTCACCTGCTCTGTCATTTCAGCTGCTTCTGTTGAATGAAACCACTGTATATTAGCAAATGTATCGGTGTGGTGTTTCATTGTATGAGTTTCTTATGAGATGACAAGCAAGTAACATATCATCAGATAATCACTAAAGACGTACTTTGTGCATTGTCTGATACTCTGATTCCAATTCTAAAAAGCAGGCCACTTGAAATCTAAATGTACCTGAAGTTAATATCTAGCTCTTTCATTCAAAGAAATATTTTCTTACATTCTGTCAGAGGGTTGGAGATAATAAAAAAACAGTCAAGCATGTAGTTTTTCCATTCATAGTCATGTGTTTATGTCTTAAAGAGATAGTTGAGTTATGTTTACAGACCGCAAATACCTTCAAAGTGCATGGTTATTGCTGTATTCTTATCTATGACATTTCTAGTACCCTTTTAGAACCTAAAATTGCTATGAAGGTAATTTTAGACCCCAAAATGTGTGAAATTTAGCCAATACGAGCTCCAATTCAGCTCCACTTTAAAAAAACATGGTGACCGTTAATTAATTATTTAATTAAAAATAACAATACATGGGCCGACTGGTTGTGCGTAATATAAGCAACACGAAAATTTCAACAAAAAAGCCAACATCGGCATTGGCTGAAATACGACGTAAAAAGCATTATTTCGTTTTTTTCAACGGTTTTTTCAAATTTTTCAAAATATCTAATATTTGTGGTGGTACACAAGTATTAGAAATCATTATATTTCAGCCGTCTCTGAACCGATTTTGATCAAACAAAGATGATTTTGTCATTTAAATATTATGTTCTTTCAAATTTGACACTCAGTTTTTCATTATCTCACAAAAAATTATTTTGTGTGGCGCCCTCTGCAACAGAACTCAACTATCCGTTTAAAGATGAACCACACAAACAGCAGGATATTGGAAGAAAGGCAGGAAAAGAAACAGAGAGAAAGAGCCACACAAAAAAGCAAATAGAGAGAGAGAGAATAAGAGATAAATCAAAAAATGTTTATGAGTCCAAACACACAGCGATTATATGTTAGAATTTCACAAGGCAATTAATGTTTCTGTATCAATAATATAAATACAATGTAATTGCTCGTGCCTTTCTAATAATCAGGGGTGATAGTGAGCACTAAATTTTTTTCCCCCTCAACCAACCCCTCCCTGAGTTAAAAAAAAAGAAGAGGATTTGGGGAAAAAAATGGCATCTAACAACATTCCCCGCCTTTTGAGTAAGAAAATTGGGGGAAAAAAGGGAAAATTAAGGAAAAATCAGGAAAATAAGGGGAAAATCAGGGAAATCGTGGTAAAATCGGAAAGAAAAAAAAATCTGGAAGAAAAAAAAATCAGGAAACCTCATTTAAATTGGGTAAGTATCAGGCCTGAATAATGTGAGCATAACAAATTTCCATAAATTTTTAATGTACATTGGACCAATAAATGAATAAATGCATGAACAAATGAATAACATGATGGTTTACCACTCTCTACTTGTGCAGTCTGTCTCTGTTTCATCATAGCCTTGGCTTCTCTTCTTAGCTGCAATGCATGACTGGCAATCTCATCACTAGCAATGTTGGATGTCATCACAAAGATGGCATCTTTGCATTCTATTGTCTTGCCTTTCCCGTCTGTCAGTCTCCCCTGGTGAGGAGAATGAACGATATAACCAAATTCTATCGTAATTAATAAGAACTAGATTTACACTAGAGATATCCTCCTACAGGTCCTATAAAGGTCATACAGTTTGAGGTCAATTGGCGATTACAAATGCAAATCACAAAAGATATCAGGTTGGAAATGGCTTGATAATTTGAAATGTAAGAATGTATGCTTAGAGGTTTACTGAGTGATGAAATCAGCATCTAGTCCACAACTTCCTACAAATCTTACTGTGCTATTAAGTGAACTTTCAAATGTCACATTTAGGGTGAACTTTTTTTCTTCACATGTTCTGATAGGGCATAAAATATCTTTACTTGGAACATGCTACACAGTGCATGTTCTATTTCTGTATCTCATTCTTAACATAAACAAGCAGTTTGCAAAGAGATTTCCTGGGCATGATTTACAACCCAACTGGCAGAGAAGAAAAATCACTTGACCTTTAACACCCGATGGAGCCCTAAGGTCCTTTGGCAAGGCATTAATCTTCATTTGCCACTCCATACCCAGGAGAGAAATGGGGACTTGGTAGGATGACAAAATCCTTTTTGTCAGTAATTGCCATATGCCCTCATGGTGACCATATGGTAGAAATATTCCCAAGGGAGTGGAGATGGTGCACAATGTGCTTGAGTGAATCCTATGACTGGGGTAATAATATCTGTAAAGGCTTAGAGGCGGTATTTTATAAGGGCTATATAAATCTAGATTATTATTATGATTACCTCATCAAAGAGTTGTAGCATGATGGTGAGTACATCAGGGTGTGCTTTGTCCACTTCATCAAACAGCACCACAGCATTGGGATTCTGCTTGAGCTTCTTAGTGAGCTGACCCCCCTGGTCATGACCCACGTACCCCGGTGGTGCCCCAATAAACTTGGCCACTTCGTGTTTCTCCTGGTACTCGGACATGTCCATCCTAATGAAGCCATTCTTGACATCCTTGTGCATGTACCGTGCTATTTGCTTGGCAAGTTCCGTCTTGCCTGTCATGCAAAGGTGAGCAGCAAGCAACAATTGGTTAAGGGTTCATACAATTCAAATCATTTCTATATATAATACTTTTCATTGTCATTTTTATTTACCTTGATTTACCTTGATGTTGGGCTTCAAGTATAATTACTTATATGCCCCTCTGCAGCAGGATTAATGTCTGTATGTACTGGTGATTGCGCCTACGTTGGAGCTTCGGACAATGCAATAGCAAGGAAACATTTCTTTAGGGTTGTACATGTCATATTTAGCTCTCCATGCTTTATGTTGTTTTTAAATAGAGCCCTGTTGTAGACCAGCCTATTTTAATGTTTTAACAATGTTTCGTAATGATTATGTAGCTGAACATGATACTCTGTATAAAGATGCGAAATAAATAAAATAAATAAATAAGTATAACATTGTCATCTTTCAATGCATTTACAGTAATATACTTTCCTTTTCAGGAACAGTTTCTTTTTGTGATATACATGTAAGTGCCAGTCTTTTCCCGACTTAGAATGACTCTTTACAGTTTGAGAGAAAGTAGACACCATAATTATGACCATATCTCTCTTCTCTCCTAAATGCATGTGTATTTCTAAAATGTTGTTTTGTACAAATATTGTAACTGAAACAGTGTAAGAAATGCAATTTATTACCATTTCATTTGAAAAAATTTGGGGGAAGAAACAGAGAGAGCATCAAATATTGAGGTTCAAAACTTCAAATCATTAAAATATGCATCACTAGAATATTGTTTAAAGAAATGTGGTCAGATTAAACTAACTGCCACGCCCCCTTCCTCCTCTCTATCCATTCTCCTTCATACTCACCTATTCCTGATGAGCCCAAGAAGAGAAAGACTAGAGGGTGATCTTCATCCATCCAACCATTTTCTTTCCTCCTAACAGCTATGAAAGATAAAAACGGGCCATCAATCTTACATACATGCACCTGTAGTTGCATGACATTCTTGTAGTACCTCAACAATTTACTTAATAATAATACAAAACATTTTGTAGTGCCTTTTAACACAGCGGATATAAAGCGCTTTAATACTTTCCTCTTAAACATTCTAATAATCATTTGTTTAAAGAACAGTGTTTGAACCATCATCCAAACTTACAGAAATGATGTCCCCCTAAAAGTCTCTCTTTATTCATGATAATACAAATCCTTCAAACATTGTATAATACTTTTTTGATGGACCACACTAAAGATGCATGATATTAAATAATTCAAATTTTACCACCTGAGAAATCTATGAAATAGATCTTTCCTCAAAATTACTTTTGTTCAATAGTACATTTTTAATTAATTCTATGGCATGGTAAACGATGAATGCTGGTCAATTAGTTTAATGTATATGATCGATATTTCATGAGCAGCTTCTCAAATTGTTTGGAGAAACAGTATAGTTTTATTTATCTTTTGATCACAGTTGCGTTATCCTTTCTTTTTTCTGAGAACCATTCATGAATGGTTCTGGCAATATGAAATTTAAAATGACAATAATCTTTAGACAGTATTTGCATGTTAAAGAACCTTGTTACCTGCAGCAACGGTTGCTATGGCACCATCCTGTCCAATGATAAACTCTGTAAGTCTCTGCTCTAATGGAAAGCGACGTCTCTCCTCTGCTGCTCTCTTTGCTTGTAATGCTGAAAACTGACAATATGAAATATAACAATACGAAATATAATATAGGAAACACTGAAGTCAGAAGAGGGCAGAGGATAGAACAAAGACTTATATTGCAGATATTCCAGCATTTATTTAAAATAATGAATTAATATCTTACATAATCAGATCAGCTATCGAGAGGGTGTGGACCATCAACGCATGAGGCATAGATTTAAAAAAAAAAAAAATTGAGTTTACACTATACTATTGTTTCCTAGCAGATCCAAAATTGATACAGGGATGTGCATTCATCTGTACATAAAAAGGCACCACTCTACTCAAAGAAAAAAATATTGCTCTATGTTAGGCAATATCTCATCTCATGGGAGCTAAAAGTCTTTATAACCCAGGGATCACTTCTTTGACCTACTGTACTGACCTTCTTGCTGTTTTCTTCAAGTAGCTGCTTTATGGCTTGACCTTTGGCATACTGCATAGGAGTATGACCATTCTCATTGGTTATCATTGGATCAGCACCTAAACAAATCCATAGGTAATTAGAAATGGTGTGAAAAGTGGGATCCAACATTATGAAAGGTATTCTATAATGGAAACTCTGTGAAGGACTCAATTTCTCTTAAATGTAGACAGCCAAATGTATCTGTGAAATAATGATGTCTTTATCTATTTATCTCCCTCCTCTGTCTCTTTTCTATCCCCTCTCTCCCTCTCATGCTCTCTATTCCCACCTTCTAATATCAACATAAAATAAACATTACCATACCTGCTTCAAGTAGAATCCTGACGATATTGATGTCATTTGAGAGGACGGCATAATGGAGAGCTGTACAGCCACGGAATGAGGCTCTGTTGTTCAGTCTGTCACTGAAGTCATCCTCCCTATCATATAAAACTAGAACAAGAGAAATAAAATAAGGCTTAGTTATCAGGTCAGAGTAGAGTTTTAAATATTCCAATGATAAGACATGAAGTGGACAAAAGCAGGCATATTCAAAATCTTTAATATCTGCTGAGTAAGTGAAATCATCTTCAATTATATAGAAAAAGCAGAAAGGGATTGCATAAAGTATCATCTCGTATACTATACACTGCAGATGAAATTTCATTGCTTCGTAATCACATTTCATAATATGCGTCGACTACATTTATTATTCAAATCATAGCTAATTCTGAATAAGCTCCTTGAATTGCATCTTAACCTTGTAATGAGTTGAGGCTTTTCTCCTGCGCTGTCTGCCACACACTGCTAAACTCATCTCCGATGTTTGGGTCTCCTCCTGCCTTGAGTAATGCTCTCAGAGCCCTGAAATTAGGCAGGATGGAAAGAAAATGTTGAAGAGAATATCTGGAATGGATTCTGAGAAATCCATCTAAGCATACAGATGTGAATTAGACTGTCCAAAGTACAATCTTGTATCATTCAGAGTTGACTCAGTTAAACTGAAACAAAATTAATTCCCCTGATCTAATATCAAAGTGGTAATTTTAGGGGCTCAAGATTTCTTTAAAATAAACAAATTGAAGATAAACTGATTGTAAAAGATTAACTTCTTCATCTCACAGCTTACATCAAATTGTTATGTGGTTTATGTAGGCCTGTTAATTTTGCTTCACTCCTCAGATAAAGGATGACAAGAAGGCCCTGCTAAAATAAAAATAAAACATCACTGCCCTCATTTTCAATCTCTATTATGATTTCTATGTATACACCTTAGGGCTGGGGTGGTGTGAAAAACTTCTCTGACTTTGTTAATCTTACTTTTCATGTCTGTTGATAGTTGCTACATGCAAGGCTGTCCATCCCAGCTGATGTCTGGCATTCACATTGAACCCTGACCTCAGTAACCTACTCATGAAAGAAAGGAGGGGGAGAGAGAGAGGGGGAGGGGGAGGGAGATTGAGAGAGAAAGAGAGAGAGGGGAAGTGTGATTGAGAGAAAAAGAAAAAGAGAGGGAGAGAGGGAAACAGAAAGAGAGACAGAAAGAGAGAGAGGGGGAGAGAGAGAGAGAGAGAGAGAGAGAGAGAGAGAGAGAGAGAGTGAGAGGGTGGGAAAGAGAAGGCAGGAACAGGGAGATATTGGGCATGTAAAAGTTTCAACTTTAACAAACAATATGAAAATATCAGCATTACTCAAAGTCACAACTGGAGCACAGTTCCAACATAGAACTAGAACAACATACTTAAGACATTGTTGACATATACAATTTTGGAAATATTAACATTAATCATATTGAGTACAAGGAATCATCTCTCTTACAATCACATTATCCTTTCATTACGTTTTAGATTAACAAAACATAGGGTCATACATGTTGAGAGAACAATGAAGCACTGTAATTTTACTGAACAAACTACCTTGATAACCTCAAGGCTCAAACACACATTCATTGTAACATTGTAGAGAGTCAGATATGCATACTGTTATTTCTGCTTACCTGGATATTTCATCTACATCATCCTTTCTAGATGCAAGGAACCATGTTGCCTTCACTGTATTAAGAAGAAATTACATTTCTTGAAATGAGATGTGCACTCCTTATGTACTAGTCTATGTGCTTTCAGATATCTATTGTACCGGTACATTTCAACCCTGCAGAGTGGTACTTATACTACTTGAATAAAAGTGTGATTTAATGTTCTTTCCTAACTTAACATGTGTTTGCAGAAATCTGGTATTCAGTTTTTCCTTGTCAATATTGTGATTAACATTGTTCTTGATCTTGTTAAATAAATAAGTATTAATTTGCTATAATTTAAGCTACAACTTAGCCGAGATAATCACAAAAATTTGAATTATTTATGACCTTCCCTCCATTATTTCTATTAGTGATTTTATTAATTGATTATTGAGTTCAGTCTTTTATTTAAAAAAAAAAAAATGAAGATTAAGAAATCTAGTACACTGAAAGCTATGGATATATATTCTATTTTCTAGTCTAACTAAGAGTTGAAACTTTGAAATACTGTGCAACTTTCTCATTTTCTACCATCACATTGAATACTTCTTTAATTTACCCTACCACCAGCCTGGGGCTGGGAGTCAAGTCTGGGATGGTGGGACCATGGCCTGGGCCTGCACTTGGGGACTAGGTTACATATGTAATAATAATATGTATAACTCAACTGTTCATAATTTCCTGCATGTTTTATTGAAACACAACTAATGACTTGATATTAGATGCGACTGTGAGAAAGGACTTCCCCTTAAATTTAAATGTATGTTAAGGCCGATTCCAAGGCCAAGCATGAAGCATTACAGAATTACATTATTTTTCATTTCCTGGATTTCCAGAAAGATCTACAAGTACAACAAATGCATGACCTTTCTTTCACAACGTATTGGTGTTGGATTTCCTGTGATCAACCATTCATTGAATGTATAGTTTGTTACAGAGTGACATAGAAAGTCGTTTTGGGTCATCAGTGAAAAAGCTTAAACTAAAAATAAAAGTGTAGAATCTAGTCTAGACTCTATACAAAATGATATATGAGCACCCGTAAGCTCACCAGCTTCGACAGACTCAGCACACGCCGCTACCGCCCCGAGGGCAATTGCTGCAGTGGCCCCTATTCCCGCAGTTCTGATACGCCATGTGGAATACAAACGATATAACTTCCTACTTTCAATGTAATACCTCACATTAATACAATTCTTAAGTGAAGATATTCTCCTAGAATTAATTATTTGTGAAAATTCACTCTTTTCGCAACTGATTCTCCGTAAACATGAAAGAAACAGACGCAATTTCATCACATTCGTGGAGACCATGGAGGCTGCCATCTTGAAATGTCGAGTTGTTACACCACTGATTAGATTATAAGAAATATTTATTCCAGATAAAACAAACAGCTTTACAATTAAAAAAATAACAAATTAATAAACAAACTTTAATTATAGATACTTAAAGAATAACTTAATAATTTATCATAAAATTTGAACTCGAAAAATAATTCCCTTTATCGTATGTAAACATTCCGCAACCTAATTTGGAATGCGAAGAATCCTGACCCGTAGGCGTGAGGTCATCCATTATCGGGAATCTCGTCTGAAAAGAGTGGAGGAGTGGCCCGTGTATCTCGCGCTCGTAATCGTATCCTAGCTCTACCGCGAGTAACCTTACTGCAACTCAGTGAACTTGATAATGTTGCAACTTTAGCTGGGATCTTTTGGAACTTATTGAACCAGTACGTGCCAGTGGCAATGACATGACCCGCACTTCATGAAGCTTCATGTTATAAAGTTGTTTAGATCTTAGAGCATCTAATTCTAAACAAGACGAGGCCGAGCTCGAGAGGAGCATTGATTTGATTTGAACAGATGCGGAAGGATCAACCGCTCAACTTAATTTCATGATTGAAATCTTTTCTGTAGTGTAGACTGTTGTTGTTAATGTTATCACTCAGTGACAGTGGTTTATAATAACACTTGGCAGTCAGTGAACTTCATTATTGTTTTGAAGACAGCCATCATTATGATCATCAACATGACTTTGTTGAAAAGATAACACAATATTCTTCTCTTCTTGTTTCATATGGACATTTCCAGTATCCTGGTCTGGAGAACTTTGGATTTGCTCCACAGTTACTCGTGTTTGATTGACACCAGTACCAGCACAGTGCAGTGAAGGAGAAGTTTATCAACAACAGGATTATGAATCACTTGAACGAATAAATATATATATAAGTGACTAATTGTCCAGGCATTTGACTTACTACAGTTGATAGACTTGCTTCCTAAAGAGGAGTTTTAGCTGAATTTGAAACAATTTTATACAACAATGGATGACATTTTTTCACAAATCCGTGATGGGAATGCAGTGTACGTCAGAGTTTGGTTGGACAAAGTTGAGAATGATCCAAACCAAGGGTAAGAATGAAATGCATGAAAGAACCGAAAGTTATTTCACAGACATGTGTCTATGAGAGGCATGATCAAATATTTATGCTATGCCTTCAAAATCAAATTAGTCATTAAAAATGACTCGCCTGACTATTATTATTAAACAATACAAAAAATGTCTTACTTGGGATGGTTTTGACTTTGAGACTTTAAAGTATCCATCTCAAATAATATGTATTAATATAATATAATATAATATAATAGTAATAATAGTATTTTTATGTTGAGAATTGATTTGTAGTCGATTAGATGCTAATGTTTTTTTTAATAATTATTATTATACATCATATTTGTCTTCTTTTTATTGTATATGATGATAGGAAATTGGGAATGATTTCAGAAATGTTTGAATTCACTTAAAAAAAATGATTGCATGTATTGTAAAAATATGATAAAGTTTACAGCAAAGAAAGTCATGATACAATTTATAGGAATGCATGCATGCGTAATATTTACAAGCTCTTCATTTATTTCCTTAATAAAAAGTAAATTTATTTTCTCATAATTCAGTAGAAGAAAGGATCAAGGGATGGAATATTTTATTATGTACATGTACAGCATATGCATGTTTATATACCCGCTATATATTCTATATCCCTGCCTTCTGAAAATAAAATGGGATATTGCTTTCTTCTCTTGTCCAGTACTGACAGGTTTGAAGCAAGTTAGGTACAGTGCATACATGTACATGTAACAGGGCCTTGAATACCTTCATATCTCCTTGGTTGCATTTAACAGAGTTAGCTTGTTGTTTAAAAAAAAAGGACAATCCCACCTGTGTACAATTAGTATGAAAGCAGAATAAGAGAAACAGATCATTTGCATTTTTAAAACAAAATTGTCAATAATACATGTAAGAGAGTTATGAGCTTTTTTCAAAATGAGATCACTAAATCTACCGGATGCAAAATTCAAATTGGCGAGTGAATTGTGATGTACACTGTACAGTAATCGCGGACAACTCTCCTGTTCTCATATATACAAAATTTATCATTAATATATGTTTTTCTGTGAAGTGCCTTCTCCCTCAAAATGTAGTATGCATACTGGATAGCATAGTATTACCGGTCTACAAAAGTAAAGGCCCTCCTGTAAATTCTGAAATATTGCCATTTTTTGTCATTTGTGCGTTTCAACGAAAAGGAAATTAAGTTGTCTGGCACTTTGTCACAGTGACATTATCAATTCAGCCCATTTGAAGTGCCGATACGTATAATACATGTACAACCTGTATGTATAGTGATTACAACTTTAAAATAATACCTTCTGCTATTTTCTGGTTTCTTTTAGAGCAGTTTATTATTAAGGATCTGATAATACAATTGAATGTAAATGTACTGTACATACAGGGTCCTGTTGAGGGGCTAAATTTATTAGAAATCTATTTTCCCTCAAGATTTAGAGACTTTCGTATCTAGTACATACGTGTACATATCATTTCATGGCAAAGGTGTGGCTTTAAACACAGGATGTTTACCGGTATGCAAAACATGGCTCTATAGGAGACTTCATATTTCCTTTCAAAAACGCATATCACATCTACATTTACATTTAGGCACAATATTTCCTGAACATTATACACATTACAGGAAACTGATGTACATGAAATCAGTGCAGGTACTTGTAATGACATACGTGTACAATGTACTTGTAGGTCCTTGAATGCTATTTAATTGTACATTGAATAGTACATACAGTACTACAGTTTTGTACAGTATGTACATATGAATAATCACCAACAATATAATGTTTTGAATGTGCATTGTATGTAGTTTGTTAAAGATTTGAATTGATATAGCATAATGATACATGTACAGGTATTTTTTATGTACATGTAATCACGATACTAAAGGAGATGGTAGAACAAAATTACAAAGACCAGCCATGAAAGCACTAAACATGGAATTCTATGAAATATCCTGTCTATTACAGTATTCAGTATTGTTTGGTTTACTACAGTAATATCATATCAATTTCCCTGTGATAGCTTACTGTATATGCCTACAGTGTTCAATGATCACAGTAGGCATGAGCATACAGGCCTCCTGTGTCAGTGTGATGAAATTTCATCTCCCCTCCCTGGTAGTTTGCTGCTGGGAGGATGATAGAAGCCCGGCTTGTTAACTATCTTGACATGTGGGAGATACATCAATTCATTTTAAGGCTGATGATGTAGCAGCGATGGTATGCCAAGTATACAGCAGCCCTATCAGAAGCCCGCTTAAAGGGGGAATTGCCACGTAACCTACATGTATGTGTACATGTACATTGACATGGAGCGTTCAGGTCATGCAACTATATTGTAAGGGAAACAATATGTTTTATGTACCGGTACATGTACATGTACACCCAGACCCATGTACTTTGTTTATATTTCTTTGACAATGCTAAATGCATGTGAAACTTAGTTCTAAGTAAATAATGAAATGTGCTGATTTTGAAGATTTCTTTTTAATACATAGATTAATTGCAAATACATGTTCCAGAACTTCCAGCGTACAGTAATGAATGTAATTGTGTTAAGAATGCAGGTCTTATACATGATCTCCTGATTGCCTGTGTGAGATAACATTCAGAACTTTTTTAGAACTTTTCTGTTTGTTTCAATTTTGACAAAAATGTGTTAAAATTATGTTACAACTTACAATGTAATATTGTCATTACATACATTTGAACATGTAGTTCATTGCACAGATTCAGACCTTAGTCACCTTACCCCACTCTTATTTCTGTTTCTCAAAATTGTTGTTTCCACTCGCTTTACATGTATACTAATGTTTTGTGATTCAGGCAGAGAAAAAGACAGAAAAACAGTCAGACTATAAAAATGATATATTAATATGCGATCAATCAAAACAAATTTGACTATTAAAGTAGTTTCACCTCAAAATTAAGTCTACCGGTACATGTATGTAAGTCAAGTAGGGAGAAGAAAATTAGAAAAAGTGCACAAGAAATTTTCATCATCAAACTAAACTACACTGTACAGTACATGTGTATGAAAATGATTTAACTATATAATTCATTGCATTTTAAAGGCTTGACTATATATACCTTTATGGAAAAACAGTCTCTTTTTTCTGTGGAACTACATGTACACATGTATGGACCATGCTATGTTCCTTTTGTGGACTGCAGAAGATGATATGTAATTACTAGGGTGTTCCGTTAAAGCAGGGATATGTGAGTTTAAATGGATACCCCATCTAAGAGGGCCCTTTGAAGCACTGCGAGGCACCGAGAGTCTTTTTTTCCCCTATCATAATCCCCTTAATCCCCCTCCCGGACCGCACAGCTCGTAAATCTCACTCCCGAAACTGAGTGACATAGGGCTCGCGAAATGCATTGTTGGAAATACACATCGGCTGCTATCAACAAAAATGGCGGCATACAGTAGGGATGAGTATTTGCTAGGCGACGATTTAGACTTTCTGACTGGTTTTGAGGAAGATTTAATTTATGGGAAGTTGGAGACCGATGCGGTAATTATACCGATGCGGTTGATCGGCAAGTTTGACAGTAGACTCACGATTTTAATTTTTTAATTATTCTTTCTAACATCGGAAAGTTTAACAAACTGTATTTTAATGCTCTTTAGGTGTCATCAATCGTCACTAAAGTACTGACTTTGAGTGAAATCTGTTGAGTTTTGTACAGTGCTGTTTGAAATGTTGAGAATCAATAGCACAATTTTTAATATACGGCCAGGGTAGTAATGCAGCTGTGTGTGTTTCCTCCCACAACATGCAGCATGTACAGCCCAGCGAGCACGGCGGCTTGCGCGTCGCCTGCCCGTACTCGGGGTGAAAAGTGGTGATGAATTGACAACTTCTAACCCTCATTAAACCAAATGCGCAAATATACAACACAATTTCATTTAGTTATTTTAAGAGATAAACTTATGGACTACCTTCCTAGCTATGTAAAAATTTCGGAAACTTTCGGAAAATGTCAATAATTAGAAGAGAACACGATGATGATGAGAAACTTGCATTCACTCTAACTCACGATTTCCTTGGTCGATTTCGTTGGTTCAGATGGCTACGTCTTCAGTAGAGTTATCCGAGCACAGCGAAAGCATTTGATAACCAATAGAAGGTTGTATTGTGCCATAAGTTGTCGATTTTTGTATTTTATATGTTATAGCTATATACATCTTCCATGAGTATGACGTCATTTTCTCGGTGACTCGCATGGCTTCAAAGCCTTTTTTTTACGACCAAGTGTTTGGAGAGCTTAGGGAAGCAGGCCGTGTTGCGTAACATTTCGTAACATTTGGATTGCCAGAGGGCATCTGTGGTCTGATAAGGGTGGCTGTTGATGGATTTGATGGCTGAAGAGGGTTACATTACTTGTTGTTAAGCCAAGTTAATCTTGAATATCTTTCCCTCGGGAAATTCTTTCGAGACGGAATATCCATTTAACTCACATATCCCTGGTTAAAGCTAAAGACCAGTTATGGTCATGCGATTGCATTGTGAAAGAAACGTTGTGAAATCAATCAGAAAAGGTTGATCATCTAGCATTGATGTACTGCAAGCTTCTGGAATAATGATAAGAAATTTGGCCCATTCTTCGTAAAGTTACAAGCACTATACACAGAAAGATGTATATGGGACTATCCTATATCTCTCACAGACCATGAGAGAAACAAATTTACCAAATATATGTATTAGTAGGCGGTTTCGCGGCAAATTTTTTATCATCATGTATTAGTCAAAACATATTCTTTCACATGATTGGTAATGAGAGCTTCCATTTCATTTTTTGAAATTGGGGCGTTTCCAATACTGGTCTTTACCTTTAAGGGGGAGCTTGTCATACAGAGGGAATGTTAAGGTGACCAATAGCTCATCTTGCATTAAAATATGACAGGCTTCTTGTAGTGCAGTTCTTATAAAATTGAGTACATGTATGGAGGCGCATTTTGGGCTTCTGAAGAAAAATTACCTAGATTATGTTCTCACTCAGTTGATTGTAAATAATGCTTAGATGTAGAGTATGAATGATGGCTGTAATGAAATTTCAATCTGCTATCAAAAGACTAGAGAGACTGAGCTTACAGCACCAGTCGCGCTCCAGCACCTTGTGTGGTACAAGCAGGATATTTTTTTTTAAGGAAAGAGTTATAAAATGAGTAAAATTCCTATTCTTACATGTACAGTATGTCGAGTATGGTAGCCTTTTTGTACATCATTTGGGTTATCGAAACTGTGAATAGAAATTTTAATTCTGAATCATGAAAATAAAAACAAAACACAAAAATGAAAAGGAAAAAATGATGCGCAAGCCTCATGGCTGGATGTTTGATGATGTCTAATTTTACAGTGAAGTGTGAAAATGTGATTAAGTGGTATAAACCTTTTTGTTTTAAATATGTACTTGAAATTGTATATTTAGGACATGTAGTCAAATTAAAGAAAAGGAGTACAGTGTATGTCTCTAACAAATATTATATTTTCAATTGAAAAAGAGAAGATGTAATTAGTGTTTTATCGCATGTGACTATTACTATTTGTATTTATATCTGCTTGGTTTTGTAGCATTCTACACTCTACAGTGAAATGTTTTCAACAGAAATATGCCACCATTTTAAATCATCAAGTTGCTTTGAAGTCTTACAGACAGTATAAATTGCCTATACATGTATGTGTACATTGTTTAAAATGATTTTTTTTATAAATCATTTTATTTTTTGTTTTTAATTATGATTTTTTAAAGATTTTGAATACATGTATGATGTAGACCTATCTATAAGTAGATCTATAAGTATATATATAACTTTATTTTCCACTTCTTCTTTTTCTCTCTGTTATCCAGAGATGACCATGGCTTCAGTGCCATGCACTGGGCGTGCAAGGAGGGTCGTACCAACATCGTTGATATGTTAATCAGTCGAGGAGCAAAGATTAATGCTACTAACATGGGTGATGATACAGCTCTTCACTTAGCCGCTGCACATGGTCATAGAGATATTGTCCTCAAGGTAAAATTAGCAGCCCTTTTAATGATACTGCTCTCAAAGAATCATAATGAATTGTTTTATTCCGATCCACTCAATTTATGTTATTTTATGATGTAATGGCAGACATACAGTATTTGATGAATAGTTTCATTAAAACAAATATTTAAAAAAATACTAAAATACATACAACTTTGGGAAATGTTAGTGAAATCATTGAAAATGACCCCAAAGTCTTGAAAGTTTAAGGCAATCTGTTACTTCATAATGGTGAAAAAAAGAAAAGTACCTCCCAATTCCTTATAGAATCCAGATAAAGGATTTTAAGATTGTTTTATGAAAGTTTGCCATGCTCCTTTTTAAATGGGAAAATAAACAAAATAAACAGCAAGTTATTCAAGCATTTTTATTTGATACATTACTGTACATCTTGAAAAGATTTTTAAATTAAATGAGTACTGATCTTTTTAGTTGCTTGTGATATTTAAGTTGCTTTCAGGCAGATTGTGGAGTGCCAGGAGTGTAGAGTCTGACAGACATGTGTACTGTATAAGATCACACTATCAGTCTATTAATGTTATCATCATATTAGATTAAATAAGTTTTAAAAATCTTCACATTAACAGTATATATAGAGACTGTTGAAGCTGATAATGCACAGAGGATAATTGAACATATTAAAATGAATGAACTTCTTTATTTGGCATTGTAGCTTATTCAGCACAGAGCAGACATCAATGCAATGAATGAACATGGAAACACACCTCTACACTATGCATGCTTTTGGAATTATGAACAAATATGTCAGGTAAGCAAATGCATAACTCACATTCTCTGGATTTTGTGAAAAAGTTCGACTTCATGGGCATTTCATCCCAATCGTGATTGTACATGGAATTTGATTACCATACAGAAAATAGCATTTCAAATACTTGTACAGTGACTACAGTATATGGCCTACATGCAATTGTTTTGATTTTACGTTAATTTATTACAGAATTGAATTGAAATTTTCTAATAAAGTCACAAGTACAGATTGATTCATTATTTTTATGTTTTATACATGTAGCTGAAGTTGAAGTTAGCTCATGGTCTTGAACGATATTCATAGGGGATTATAATGTTTGTTTGCTCCTCTAATAAAAAAATATAATAAACAAACAGAAATATATCATGTGCAGGGCTAAACACTAACTGTTTTGGAAGGGGCTTAGGATTGAACTTTTTACAATCTTTATATGCATGTAAATGTAAAAGTATTTTGTCTTCTTCAATTCTTGGGTGTCCGGACTTAGATTTGGGCGCTCATGTGTCCCGGCCTCATGTTAGTGTCTAGCCCTGTATCATGCATGTGATTGTGTATGCATTTAGATCCTCATCAAATTTCACTATATCTGTGTTATCTTGTTTGGTAGGATCTGATCAATAATGGTGCCCTCGTCGCCCTGTCAAATAAAGATGATGACACACCCCTGGACAAGACTAAGGAAGACATGGGGAATATGTTAAAAGGTAAGAATACAATAAAGAGATGAACTTTCAACAGTGTATAATGAACATTGTTTTTGTCTTTTGTGGATATTTATATTGCAGAAAGCCATGCATAGTAAAATGAAGCAGCTAGTGTACTACCAGTATGTAAGATACAGAGTAAACTTATTCATCTCATACATGTGGATGTAGCTATATTTTTACATCATGGACATGTACATTTGTAGAAAAATTCTTAAACAGCTCAAAGCTCCCAAAACATAATATTTTAATTTTAATCAATTAAGTAATAACAATAATAATAATAATATTAATAATGCTGATGTGTATTGTTTACTAATGGTTGTCTCATCAGTAGTATTTCCTCCTGAGGGCCCTGCAATCATACTATAAACCCAGCTTTAGCCGATATTTACCATGAAAATAAAAAATGTGTCAAAAGCTGGATAAATTGTATTTAAATATGTATATCTTAAAATAGGTACATGTTTAATGTGAAGTTTGAATGTTCAATTCTGATGAATTTCATGAATCTCATTACACATTATCAACTGTTTGATCTAAATACTGTATATACAATTGTATATGATTAATTTCTTAAATATGTGACATTGCAGTATTAATGATATTGATGTTAATTTCAATTTTGTATAAACAGAGAAAGCAGCAGGCATGGGCCAAGACATGACAAAAATACAATACAGGAATAACTGGAGTGGTACAAAGACGAGAAGTCGTAAGTATCCCATCTCTTTTTTCATCTCATGTAGACAAAAATATATGAATGACTGAATGGTGGAAATGTAAACAAAATATAAACATTATTCATACAAATGCTAAATATCTATGACAAATTTGCTCTCAGCCAATCAAACACCACGATTTCAGTAGCTTATAACAGTCATTGTAACTTGTTATGTCAGTAGCTTGTAACAGTTATTGTAACTTGTTATGTCAGTAGCTTATAACAGTCATTGTAACTTGTTATGTCAGTAGCTTATAACAGTCATTGTAACTTGTTATGTCAGTAGCTTATAACAGTCATTGTAACTTGTTATGTCAGTAGCTTATAACAGTCATTGTAACTTGTTATGTCAGTAGCTTATAACAGTCATTGTAACTTGTTATGTCAGTAGCTTATAACAGTCATTGTAACTTGTTATGTCAGTAGCTTATAACAGTCATTGTAACTTGTTATGTCAGTAGCTTGTAACAGTTATTGTAACTTGTTATTTGGTGAAACCGGGCTCTGGTTGATAGAGAAACAACTCCTGTGGCATATACATGTATCCTACTTCTACAATGTCGATCCAATCCCCCCCAAAAACAAGCCTCTCACTCATGATGGAATCTAATTATGTAAGGAATTATGAGTCATTATCAGGGCACATGTGTTCTGTAGGAAAAGCCTGCACGTGAGGTAACACCTTTTTCTATTAAACAGATGTGTTTCCTAATATGTAGTGCTCATGAACATGTACTATCCAAAGTTGCAATCAGCTTCGATGCATGTTTTCAGATATTACCAAATAATGATATCCACATTGTTCAAGGTGCTGTTATTTTTCCTTTTGTTTCTCTTCTAAATATCTTTCTCTTTGTTCTTCCCTTCTTTACTCTGTCCAATTAATATTCATTTTATTCTTATCTTATCCCTTCTGTCTCTTCACACAAACATACTCCTCTTTTCTTTTCCATTCTCTTTTAAAAAAAATCTCATTGTCTGTCCTCCCATCTGTTCCTTTAACTTTCCTCCCCTCCTCCCATGTTGTCAAATTTGTTTACATTAAACTAATGACTACTGGTGTATACCTTTAAAAACCTGCTCTCAACAGAGCTGTGTCATACAATGCACCTGCCCACACAAGCTTCATACATAAAGGTCAACTAAAGAATTCCAGTTGTATATGTAGTGTGCAGAGGACTGTATACTGAGTCAAGGAGGGTATTGGAAAAGAACAAATGGAAAAGGAAGATGATGTAGATGGCACTGGCAGAATATGAAGTGAGAGATTAGTGGAAGAAATAAAACATGAATAAATTTGATAAAGAACAAAGCAAGGAGAAGCTTATTTATAGGAAGATTGTGAAAGATGCCATTGTGTCATTTGGAAATGAGATACATTGATGAATCTAACTGCTGTTATTGCTACAATGTTTCACTCTCACAACAACATGTCCTCAATGTTTAAGAGAATGTCATATTATCAGGATAAGTTGGAGAAATGATGCTTTAGTTTGTCTTGAAGTATCTAGTTCTTCTACATTTCTTTGTTTTCAGGTGATGGAACCCTATCAAGGTTTGCTGGTATCGATCTGAAACATGTCAAGCTACAAAGCAAGATCAACAGTAGCCCTACAGGGGATGTAAGTACAGTATCCACAATCCTCAGATAAGTTATTCTCTGATGAACTGAACACTTGTAGTTCAAAATGTCTTTGAGATCAATACACCTCTTAATATTGAAGAATACATGTGACCTTATTTAGAAAGTATAGTCCATATTCTTTAAAAGAAAAAGAAAATGATAATGATGGCGTGTTCTATTTTACGTCTCCTCATTTCTGTTTCTCTCATTTTTCATCTTTTCCAAGCTCTAAGTCTAAAAAAGCCCATAAGTAGTTTGCACTTTCAGTGTATTTATAAATAATAATGGTTTCATAAAATGTATTAAAAAAATGCAGATAACCAATTGGATATGGTTTCATATGCAAAGTCACAGACAACCTATTACAGCATAAGATTGCTATTTGGAGGGTACTTGTGGAACCTTGAATCCCCATGATTATAAAAACAAATACAGATGAGTAACCCTTTATTTATGCCTATATTGATGTCTAGATGTGGAAGGGTATCTGGCAGGGGACTGCTGTCATGGCTAAGGTACTCAAGGTCACCAACGTGACCTCTCGTATCTCTCGAGAGTTTGGTGAAGAGTTCCCACGGCTACGCATCTTCTCCCATCCTAACATCCATCCTGTGCTTGGATGTGTGAACCAACCCCCGAATCTTGTCGTGCTGAGTGAGACGCTTCAGCATGGGTCTCTCTTTCATGTTCTGCATGAAGCCTCCGGTGAGTGCCCCTTTTTGTTTTTATTTGATTTTAACCAGGAAAATCCAGTGTGCATTAACAGTATTTTGTTGAAGTTAAAATTTCTTCCTCTCAGATGAGAAAAAAGAAACAACTGAAGATGGTAGAAACTGTCCATTGTTATAAGTATCAGGTCATTCAAATCTGCACACTTTGAGTGCTATCAGTTAACAGGGGGAAACACTGTTGGTATAATCAACCCCTGTTTGCCTCTGTTAAGTCAGAAGAGTACATGATTTTTCAGGAGGTGTTGTAATTGAAAAAAGGAAGGAATTTAGAAGCAAGTTTTATTGATATAATTTGTTACATCTTTAATTCCTTGTTGAAGATGAATGGAAATAGCTACCGGTATGTCCACTTCAACAATATGTACATGTAGCTGTATAAATAGTTCATTTGTTTGGCTTTTCCTTCACCTGTAATTGGTTTTGGTTGTAGAGTCTCGTTGCAAGGATTCTTTTTCTTTTGGCACATATTCTCCACCGCCATTTGAACCCACAGTAGGGAACTACAAATTGAATAACATGTAAGTCAATCTAAAGAAGTCACAAAATCTCCTCCTTCTGTCCATGTAGCTATTTTACTCATTCTTCTTCTCTTGTGCTTTTTTTTATGTGTGTACTCCTGCATCCTAATAAAGGAGCAAAAGAAAAGATAAAATAGAATTGTTAGGATACAATCAAATGACTGTAAATTGAAATGCCCTTGGGTCTTTTACTCACTGAATGTTTTTTGTCTATTTTATGGTATGATTTAGTCTGAGATCCAGACCTTTGTCTATTTCCCCCTCAATATTTAATGTATTAAAGTGTTGTAATAGTTTAATATGGAATTATAAATGTCCTTAAGTAGACTAGACTTGTAGCAGCTACATGTACATTTATTTGCAGTGTATATGTTATCACCGGCTGATTCAGCAACCTTGTTAGGAATTATTGAGATATCGATTCTGAAGTTGTCTACATGTATGTGTGTATGTAGTCAGTTTTCATATCCAAAGATGCTCTAAATTGCCTCAGCATTATTTTTATTCATCAAAACTGTTGTTTTAACTGAAATGATTGTACCAGGTATATGGTATATTAGCTTGAGTTTAAATTGATGAATGATGTACATTTAGAGCTTAGGAGATTCAGATTCTCAATTTTTAGTCTGAATCAAAGCCTAGACAGGCCCATGTGGATGTTCCAAGGTCATTTGTGTCATTAGGATCATCTATAGAGTCTTGTTATGTAGATTGATTGGGATGGACAGTAATAGAAGAACTGTCCTTGGAAACGCACATAATGGAATCCCCAAGGTGACTGTATGAAAGAATGTTCTATCAAGGTTTCAAAAAGCTCCTCAAATTAAATTAAATCCACATTACATTACTGTATGTTCTTTAGCATTTCAAACCTTCAATGAAACCCCTTAAAAACTGGCGACTCGGGTTTAAACCCAGTTCCAGTACATTTTGAATAAAATCAAAATCAAGATTAACAGTAGATTATATGTGTGTGTTTTTGCAGGTATTGTTGTTGATCATGGTCAGATGGTGAGCTTTGCATTGGACATTGCGAGAGGTATGTCCTTCCTACATGCAATGGATCCTCTCATCCCAAGATACTATCTCAACAGTAAGAATATCATGGTAAGTAAGACATCATTGAATTAATCAAACATTTACATAGTCAGCATCAATTGTCTGATTATTGGCAGAGAGGTATTTTCTCTCTGCTAAAATAAGTCAATTTGGACTGCAGTAGACGACTTTGTGAGATATTTAGAGAGATACTGTTCTGCTGAATTCCTGTTTTGTGTGTTGTAAAAATAAGATCAGGTTTAATGTAAGAAATCATAATGAATTGATCAAAAAAGCCTGATAATCAGAGTGCCATGTAGAAGGTAGCACAAATGCTAGAACTTTATGTACTTTAGAGCAATTATAACCTTTTAACCAAATGACCCCATTCCTTTTCATTTCCATTATCAAACACCAAATGCATATTTTAGTGCCAGTACTTTCTTTAATACAACTGCAAATAACATATGCCACCCTTCCCCTCCCCCCCCAAAAAAAAAATCCCCCTGGGAGTAATGACACCCCTTGTTTTGTTAACAAGTGCTGTAGACGTGCGTGCTGCTGCCTCACCAAGTGTGACATTAATCTTGAGTCTTGTTGCTATATCAGAGCAAAGCTCTTTATTATAAATATCATTAGACAGTAATCTTAAATCTTGTTTTTTGTAGATTGATGAGGAGCTGACAGCTAAGATCAACATGGGTGATACCAGGTTCTCCTTTCAGAATAGAGCTAAATTCTTCAATCCTGCTTGGATGGCACCAGAAGGTAAGTTCAAAGAAGACCCTTGAAGGAGAGCAGACAGATTATTTCACTTCTACTAAGTGTTGAAAAAAATTCTACAAGATAATTTTTAACATCTTGAAAAAGATTTCTGTCAAATAATATTTGTTCAGAATGTTTTACATTTTGTTTTAAAACATGAAATGTTTTCACTTTTTAAGGAATTTCTGCCATAAAATGTTTTGTACTTATATTACTTGTATTGTTGATTGATTACAAACACATACTTGTTGTTAATCTCATCTCCTGTTCCACTCACGGTTTTGCTATCAAGTGTCCCAGTGTCATTATTTGGGCTAAACATAAAAGCTCTATCAATAGGATGGCACAAAAAACAGAACTCTTCGTCAATCCAGAAATTTTTAGCTATTTGAAATAAAACAAGTGAAGCTTGTCTTCTAAAAATGAGGCCACATGTTTGTGTAGTCCCATAAACATCTTTCTGTGTACAGTCACAGTGCTTGTTACTTTTACGAAGACATCATTTTGATGATTCTAGAACCTTGCAGTACACACCAATACTTATATGCTACATGATCAACATTTTCTGATCAATTCCACACCGTATCTTTTACAATGCAATCGCATGACCAGAACTCAACTTCATTTTTCAAGTAGAGTTAATATTCTTTGGGGTGTCAGCATATGAGCCATTCTTATTGGGCCACCTAATTGACCCTTTCTCTATGGTTCATATTATTTCCTCAGCTTTGCAGAAAAGCCCTGAAGAGATGAATGCTCGCTCAGCAGACATGTGGAGCTTTGCTATCTTGATCTGGGAGCTGGTGACCAGAGAAGTACCATTTGCTGGCATGTCCTCTATGGAGGTCGGAATGAAGGTATGGCATTGAGAAGGGATCACCAGTCTTACTCCCATGGGATATTATGTTATTTTTGATAGCTCTGTTTTCATTTGAATGATTGAGTAGGATGACACTTTGCTAAAGTTATGGCATAAAATTGTATAGAGTGGGAATTCTTGTTTTATGTGTGCATACCTGTAAAAGAAAACATACATGGCAAACAGCATTGATAGCATTTTCAGGACTAAACACCCTCAAGAAAGATTACAGAGAGTCCTTTTCAGGACACCCCAATCCTCCCTCTTTCTCACATGGTGCATCTGCAAGCCTACTGTATAGCATTGATATTTGATCACATTTGAAATATCGTCATGTGATTGACTAGGAATCAGTTGGCATCATTGGAACTCTCTGATATACATCCTTCTCATTCGTAAAAATGACGCCTGGCTGGAATGCTCCCCAGGGAGTGGATAATGTGCATACATTGTCTGCGGGTAAGCCTAAATCTGATGACCAGGGTAATATATAAATCTGTAAAGCACTTTTAGAGGGCCTTCGGTCCTGAAAAGTGATATATAAGAACTAGCTGTTATTATTATTATTATTATTTTGTACTTGTCACTGTCTAGATTGTTGGAGAGGGTCTAAGGATTGATGTACCTCCAGGCTCCTCCCCTCACATGAGCAAGCTGATCAAGATCTGTATGAACGAGGACTCCACCAAGCGACCCAGGTTTGACATGATCATGCCCATCTTGGAGAGGATGCGTTCTAACTAGGATCCTACGGGAAAGCGATCATTGAGAATAGGTGTCCAGGGGGGTGTTTCACAAAGATCCTAAGTTGAACTTATCTCTAAGTTAGACTTAACATTTATGGAAAGCCATTAGCATCTATGAAAATATTTTGTAAAAGTTATTTTAAAAGGCATAAAATGGTGATTCAAATCAATCATATTTTATATTATCAAAGAGATTTCATGTTCTTAATGTGGAATTTATAAAAAGTCTAAAATACTTGAATTTACGCTTTTTGATATATTTTATTTTGAGGCTGCAAATGACTCTCCATAATGTTTAAGTCCAACTTTGAGTTTAGTTTGACTTAGGATCTTTGTGAAACACCCCCTTGGGCAGGCGCCAAATACTCACCCCTGCCCCACTCCTTGGCGAGTATCGGTGATTGATTGATGTTGTACAGCACTCCTATCCACCTTGCAAGGTGCTCAAGATGCTCCAATAAGGTGATATGACATGGTTCCACCCGATCTCTACCTTAAAGGTAGATCTTTAGATGAAGATCAGAATGGTAGAAAAAGTGATTGGTATAGATTCACCCAGTGTAGCCCTTCATGATGAAACGATCCTTTCTAGTTTTTAGGTAACCAGATAAAAAAAAAGGCAAGTTTGGGCATTTTGTGAGTGAAATGAACTGATAAGTAAAAGTACAGTTTACTTACGTATAGCAGGATCCAGGATTTCAGATAATTTGTTGATGGAAGATGATGTTTTTAAAATGTTCTAAACAACATACCACCGGTATCTTAGTGGAAAGTTTGACTATCAAGGATTGCAGATATAGTCTTTTCAACTTTAAATTGAAAAAGCAACAATCAAATATGACAAGGAAACTTGTGAAGAAAAGTTCTGTTCTGGAAAGTAGTTTGGACATCAATGAGCGCAGAATCAAGCTGGTCTGTGACCACATACTTTTCTATTAAAATTGAAATTTATATTGAAGGCTGATTCAAGCCTACAGAGAAGCATATTTTCAGCATATATATATATATATATATATACATATATTCTGCATATAGTTGAAAACTATAGGTCATTCATGGGCATGGACATAATAAGGAAGCACAATCGACACAATTGGTATGTCATATCTTCCACTACAGTCACAAATACTGTGATAGATCTTCCAATAATTATAAATTACAATTTTCATTGTTTTCCATGAACCATAAAACCTCACACTTTGGGTTTATGCAATTATGATAGATATTTACTTTGCCCTTTTCCAATTATTATTGTTTATATATGTAATGATGCATGATGAGTTTATATATTGCCTTGAGCATATATTTCTATTTTCAATAAAAAAAAGAATGTTGACATTAAACTTTTTTTCTTTTTTTTTGTGAGAAAAAAATTTGAAGATCACACACTCGGGAGTTAATCAACCTATTAATGGTCACATGTGTTTTTATAAATGTGCAAATTTACAAACATTGTTTTGTCAATATGAGACAAAAGTCTATCGAGACTGGGACTTCAGACATTATTTGTTCATATAGATGGCACGCCAATTGCATGCACAACATTAAATGCTGGATAACATGTAGGAATTTGAATAGAGATGTAGGAGACTTTTACAAGGAATGAAATGATGGACTGAATGACTGCATAGGATTGAATGTAATGAATATGGATGCATGTAACGTTTTCTAAATATAGTGTCACAATGAATCTTGTATAGAACATCATTTTTTATTCATTTTGATAAGTCTTTGTAATATCAGATGGGACCCGTTCTTTGTCACAATTTTAGATGTGAAGGCTGAAATGTTAGCCTAGACTTACGAGATGGAATATGACAATTTTCAAGGTCAAGGGAAATAGATATACGTTACTGATATGCAAAGTGGTGATATTATAATCTCTTTAGTCTTCTACAGCTGGTGAACGTGAAAGCAATCATATCCATCGGTGCCATATTTCCATCAGAATTTATACTGGCAAGGGATTAGTTTTCTAAAATGTTATAATGAAATATATGAATGAAGCCACAGGTTGCATTAGTAGATGAAGAAAAAGATACAATGTTATAACAGAAGGTGCTACTATTTCAGATTGTCAGCCCAGTATGTTGAAAGGATGTAAATGTCATGTAGACATGGGGTTAGGGACATTTAGGAATTCAATGTATTTTTACCGAATAGTACATGAGAATGTACATCATGTACAAGTACTAAATCTGTGGTCTTTCAACTTTATAGTAATTTATCACTTCTTTTGCATACATTCACTGCATTGCAGAAATTAACAGTATGGAAGAATCTCTTTTAAAGTAGTTTATACTGCTGCTTTTGCAAATGCATATGAGTGAACAAAAAGTGGGACCATTGTCCATTAGCATATTTCTGAAACACAAATCATGCAACAATTTCCTGTGTGTAGTATGCCTGCCTTCATCATTTCCAAACTTCAAATAAATTAATAGGAGCTATAAGCAACTGGCATTTTTCTTGAGTTCTGCAGATGCCTTGAGTTCTGTGTAATGTAGGAAAGAGATAATTGGCTGTTCTTGAAGTCTTTTAATTAAAAACAAATGAATAAGATCTGTTTGGGCTCGGTTTCCTTCCTCACGGCTCACCATTAACCACTTAATTATATAATATTGTATTTCTCTAGTCCATTATTACAACAATCATGTAATCTTTATGCTGGGCAGAAATCAGTTTCAAATATACTTGTAGTTCTGTGCCAAATCTGTTCATTTAATTCTCTGCCTACTCCTTCACTTTACAACTCAACAAGTATTGTCATTTTTTCTTCATACACGGTATAGATTTCAAAATTTGACTGTCATATTTAATCTTCACTTTGTGCCTAAGAAATCCTCATGATTCTGACATTTTTTGACTGGTTTTTGGATATATCCTTTTCACTGTAGGGAAGTCTTGTTGAATATTGTATAGGTTCCTGTATCAATCTTTCACTATACTTTATCCTTATCTATTCAATTTTTTCTTTTAACCAGTTGATATTGTGTATGTGGCACTGCTCTTTATAAACAAAATTGTTGCCATTTGGAAGATTTAACATCAATTTTTCTTTAATATGCAGTCCTTATTTTCAGTTATTTGGAAGTATGGAAGGATGTTTTTTCCCCCTTTTTATATTATCAATATCATACTGCAACCTTTGTTAAGTCAATTTTTTTTCTTTTACCAATTTTGGTCTATGCTGAAAAACTTTATTTGTAGATTTGGAACGTGTGAGGCACCGACACCCACCCACTCACATACATGTATACATATGATTATCAGTAGAGAGATGCATTGTTTAATTATGATATGGTAAGTCATATATCATATTTTAAAAGTTATTATGTATGTGTATGATATATACAATCCTTTATTACTGACATGTTTATTTATGTTATCAAAAACTTGGATAGACTGTATACTTTGAAAAATTTGTAGAGTCGCAGTATTTATTGATAATTTACATACAAGTAAACAAGTAAGTTGATCAGTAATTTTGTTATGGTATAATCTGAAAATCATAGTCTTGCCAATTTTTCAATTCAATCTCTTTTGTCAACTGTTTGCATGTTTCATGTAAAATATATTTTTGCTAATCTGATATTAATGTAAATTCTTCCAGGATAACCACAATTTATTATTTCATGATTTTTGTTGATTATTTTTTTTTTTTGGGGGGGGGGGGGGAGGGTACCTATGGAGGAACAATATAAAAGAATTTTGAAAATAGATATTTATCATGAGTAGAGTAGATTCATAATGCATTCGTGTTCTATGTTAAAAATACTTTCATTGTAGTTTGCAGTATACCTGCCAAAGAATGCTTTGATCTATATAAGCTTGGCGATTTCTATTTATTGATTTCACGTTTGTATCCTTACGTCATCTTGTATATAATTGTTTTAAGTTGCTTTTCCTGTTTTGTTTTCTCCCGTTTTATGTGCTGGTGCATATTAATTGTAGTTCATATGCATATTCATGTATTTATATTCATCATGTATCTAAGCCTGGAAGCTGATCTACCAGCTACACTGCTTGTCCTGATTGTAGGATGATTTTGTGGATCAATAACCCTCTCCTTGAAAATTGATGTGAAATAAAAATTTAATTCTTTTTACCTTGAAAAAAAAAAAATCTATTTTTGAAGTAAAGCTGAACTGATGCTGTTTTTACATGTGATCAGACATGCTTTCGATTATCAGAAAATCTTACATTGTCACGCGTGTATGAATTTCATTTTCTTGGGGCCTTAATGTCATCCTGTTGAATCTTTGTCATATACAAGCACTTGATATTGTTTCTTTATATGCATTACATTGTCTTTATATCATTTAATTGGTGGATATTCTAGAAATGTATATGACACTTCTGCTTTTTAGTACAATTCTTCCTTTAAATATTCATTATTTTCTTGACAAAAGCTTCTAATGATCAGAAAAACTGGCAAAAACTCAGATTCAGGTAAAAAAATACTCCTTCAAGAAAACATTTGCAACAAATTTTCTAATTAAGACGTGCAGTGCCCGACTTATTGTGAAAAGGGGTTGTTGAAAGCCATAATCAACATGTCATTGAATGCATGATGTCTAATGAGATTGAAGTTAGAAGCAGCCTTTTTCAAATCGTACACATGAGGGAAAAGTAAAACATTTATATATTTTTTGAATGACTTAAGTAGTTGGCAACAAATTATGTAGTGGAGTAAAAATCCTTGAGCATTCATTGAGAGCTTGAGTGCTCGACATGTCATGTAGGTAAACCTTGTATGTTGTACCCCCATCCATTAGCATGTGGGCTTGGAACTGAGAATAGATTAAATTAGTTTTTCTTTGCTTTTATACAAATGAAGCCGTCTCATAGCTTTTGTTGTCATTGGACCTCCCGATGTAAGACATAGTTAGCTTGAATCAGCAGAAGCATCATAGTAAAAGAGAATGAGAGAAATGTGGTGTGAATAAAAAAAAAGTGAGGAATTGGATAAGAGAGGTGTGAGAAAAGAGGGAGGTTTTAGAAAAGGGATTGTCAAAAGCATGAAAGAAAGGGGGAAGATCGCAGGTGAATTTGTGTGAATGTGTATAACATTGACTACATTTTGAAAATGGTTCATTTCCTA